AATTTTCAACTTGAAACGCTCTGCATGGTTCTTAGTGAGACAGCCACTTAAAGCTTCTCTTCAAAAAATTAGTTTTTGGTTTTGGAAGTGCTAGATCCGTTTCCTCATTTCGTAAATTATGGCGTCTATTAAGTTCACTAAGTCTTACAAGGCTTTCTCTTAAACATGGCGAACAATTTTCATTAAGGATTTGATTATCCCATCCTAAACCTTCCAAAAGATCACCTGATCTAATCCTATCATATCTTGCTCCAGTGATAACCCTAGCCGCACGATTTTGTAATATTTGCAATTTATCTTTTAATATTTTATCGCATGTATCCCACAGGGGAGAGCAATAATCAAAATATGGTTGAATTAATGATTTGTATAATGTAACAAGAGAGGTCTGCGGAACGAATGGTTTACAGGTAAACTACGTGAAGCGTTCCTCTTTTGACTTCGTAACTCATTTGGAATTTTCCTCATTAGCTTTGCAAATTTGAAAAACTCTTTGCAAATCCCTTGAGAGAATTTGCAATGTTCCTATCGGCTGTTGCAATATTCCAAACTTCATTTCAAATTTTCCTAACTTCCTGTTTTAATTTCCTAACTTCCTGTTCTGTTCTGAGCGTTGTTATTGGTCGATTATTTTTGTTAGCCAATTACAGCACGCAGAACAGAACAGGAAGTTAGGAACTTGTAACAGGAAGTTAAGAACTTCTAACAGGAAATGAGGAAAATTTTTTTGGCTTTTAGCAACATTGCAAATTCCCTCAAGGAATTTGCAAGGGAGTTTTTTAAATTGCAAAAGTAATGAGGAAAATTGCAATCAATTTAGAAACTCAAAAGAGGAACGGTTCACGTAGTTTACCTGTAATTCTACTCAATGCTCCTATGCCTGAACAGATCTTCTTGCATATTTCTTCAATATTGATGTCAAAAGTAAATCTGTCATCAAAATCAACTCCCAAACATTTATTCGAGACAACAGGTGAAATTACGTTATTGTTCATGATAATGCTGTTGTACAATTCACCAACTTTGTTGGTCAAATTTTGTTTAGATCCTATGACAATAAGCTTAGCCTTAGAAGGATGGGATTGGAGTTTATTTACATTTAACCAATCTGTGACATTTTCTAAATCAGAGTTTATATCATTAGCCAGCGCAACAGAGTCGTACGAAGAGGCAAAAATTTGGGTATCATCTGCGTATAGACAGGGTGTTGCTGTCTTTAGACAGTTGGGTAAATCGTTGATATAAATTAGGAACAACAACGGGCCAAGTATGGAACCCTGTGGAACCCCGCAAATTATTTCATCTTTATTAGAGAGGCAGCCATTTACTTGACACTGTTGTTGCCGATTTGAGAAGTAGGATTTAAACCATGCAAGTTCAAGTTGAGAAACGCCATAGAGAGCTAGTTTTTCAAGTAGTATAACATGATCTATTGAAACGAAAGCTTTTCTGATATCAAGGAAAACTACCCCTGTTAACATGCCATTATCCATATTTTCGTACCAGTTATCACACATTTGAATTAGAGCTGTAATTGTAGAATGCCCTGGTCGAAATCCGGATTGGAATTTGGATATAAGGCAATTTTCGTTTAAATGTTTGTAAAGTTGTGTAAAGATTTCTTTTTTGAAGACCTTACTTATTATCGGTAGAATTGATATTGGTCTATAATTTCCCAAAGTTCGTTTGTTGCCTTCCTTGTAAATCGGTATAACTTTCGCATATTTCCAATTTTCTACAAACACTCCAGTTGAAAGTGATAGATTAAAAATATAAGTTAAAGAGGGTGCAATTATATCTGCAGCAATGCGTAGCATTTTAGCCGGAATTTTATCAAGACCGGCGCATTTCGAAACCTTTAGATGTCTTAGAGTTTTCAAAACATTGTCCATTGGAATAAACATAAAGGATGGATAAATTAACTTGTTGTTTTCCAAATAAGTTTCAACCTTATTCGTTGACTGATTTGAAACTTCAGTATGCGAAACACGTAATAAAGTGGGTCGGGCTGGTTAACACAGACCGACTTTACATTTTGTCTTGATATTTTTACAGTAGCCTTATTTTAGTATTAGTAACATCATATTAAAATTTCAATCAATTTGGTTGACTCTTTCTACTACTTGCAAAATCAGGGTCGATTCTCAGTGACCCATATTATAGTGCAGTATGCGGAACACGTAATAAAGTGGGTCGGGCTGGTTAACACAGACCGACTTTACATTTTGTCTTGATATTTTTACAGTAGTCTTAGCTTAGTATTAGTAACATCATATTAAAATTTCAATCAATTTGGTTGACTCTTTCTACTACTTGCAAAATCAAGGTCGATTCGCACTGACCCATGTTATACTGCAGTGTGCGGAACACGTAATAAGGTGGGTTGGGCTGCTTAACACAGACCGACTTTACATTTTGTCTTGATATTTTTACAGTAGCCTTAGTTTAATATTAATAACATCATATTAAAATTTCAATCAATTTGGTTGACTCTTTCTACTACTTGCAAAATCAGGGTCGATTCGCACTGACCCATGTTATACTGCAGTGTGCGGAACACGTAATAAAGTGGGTTGGGCTGCTTAACACAGACCGACTTTACATTTTGTCTTGATATTTTTACAGTAGCCTTAGTTTAATATTAATAACATCATATTAAAATTTCAATCAATTTGGTTGACTCTTTATACTACTTGCAAAATCAGGGTCGATTCTCAGTGACCCATATTATAGTGCAGTATACAAAACACGTAATAAAGTGGTTCGGGCTGGTTAACACAGACCGACTTTACATTTTGTCTTGATATTTTTACAGTAGTCTTAGCTTAGTATTAGTAACATCATATTAAAATTTCAATCAATTTGGTTGACTCTTTCTACTACTTGCAAAATCAGGGTCGATTCTCAGTGACCCATATTATAGTGCAGTATGCGGAACACGTAATAAAGTGGGTCGGGCTGGTTAACACAGACCGACTTTACATTTTGTCTTGATATTTTTACAGTAGCCTTAGTTTAGTATTAGTAACATCATATTAAAATTTCAATCAATTTGCTTGACTCTTTCTACTGCTTGCAAAATCAGGGTCGATTCTCACTGACCATATTAATTATAGTGCAGTATGCGGAACACGTAATAAAGTGGGTCGGGCTGGTTAACACAGGTCGACCGACTTTACATTTCGTCTTGATATTTTTACAGTAGCCTTAGTTTAGTATTAGTAACATCATATTAAAATTTCAATCAATTTGGTTGACTCTTTCTACTGCTTGCAAAATCAGGGTCGATTCTCAGTGACCCATATTATAGTGCAGTATGCGGAACACGTAATAAAGTGGGTCGGGCTGGTTAACACAGACCGACTTTACATTTTGTCTTTATATTTTTACAGTAGTCTTAGCTTAGTATTAGTAACATCATATTAAAATTTCAATCAATTTGGTTGACTCTTTCTACTACTTGCAAAATCAGGGTCGATTCTCACTGACCATATTAATTATAGTGCAGTATGCGGAACACGTAATAAAGTGGGTCGGGCTGGTTAACACACACCGACTTTACATTTTGTCTTGATATTTTTACAGTAGCCTTAGTTTAGTATTAGTAACATCATATTAAAATTCCAATCAATTTGGTTGACTCTTTCTACTACTCTCAAAATCAGGGTCGATTCTCAGTGACCCATATTATAGTGCAGTATGCGGAACACGTAATAAAGTGGGTCAGGCTGGTTAACACAGACCGACTTTACATTTTGTCTTGATATTTTTAGAGTAGCCTTAGTTCAGTATTAATAACATCATATTAAAATTTCAATCAATTTGGTAGATTCTTTATACTACTTGCAAAATCAGCGTCGATTCTCAGTGACCCATATTATAGTGCAGTATCCGGAACACGTAATAAAGTGGGTCGGGCTGGTTAACACAGACCGACTTTACATTTTGTCTTGATATTTTTACAGTAGCCTTAGTTTAGTATTAGTAACATCATATTAAAATTTCAATCAATTTGGTTGACTCTTTCTACTGCTTGCAAAATCAGGGTCGATTCTCACTGACTCATATTATAGTGCAGTACGCGGAACACGTAATAAAGTGGGTCGGGCTGGTTAACACAGACCGACTTTACATTTGGTCTTGATATTTTTACAGTAGCCTTAGTTTAGTATTAGTAACATCATAATAAAATTTCAATCAATTTGGTTGACTCTTTCTCCTACTTGATTCTCAGTGACCCATATTATAGTGTAGTGCAGTATACATAATTCAGTAAGAACAGCGTTTTCGCAAACAGCAATATCTCATCAAGTTCCCGAGATATTTTTTAAAAGGGTTTAATGGCACAAATTCCAGTCCTCGCATGAAGCTCCTCGCAGCTCGCTGCAAGTGTATGCATGAGTACTGTCATCCAATCACAATGCATACTAATAAGAGCTAATTTTAATCAAGCAAGCATTCGCAGCGAGCTTCGTGGGAGGACTTTATACTTGAAAGTTTCAGTTCGATCAATTAACGAAATATTACCGAACATATTCCACTTTTTGGAAAACTATGGAGTACGTAACCTCTAAAAGCGTCGCATTTGCATTTTTTGTACTTGAATATCTCGGGAATGTGTTGGGATATTGACCAGTAGGCGATTATAATCTTTTAACTGATCATTTTGATAATACATTTAACTAAACGTCAACAATGGGAAATGATTTCTGCACATGTTTGCACTAAACCTAGGTGAAACATATAAAATCCCCGTAACAAATCTCGTCAAGTCCAAGGGTGCTTTCTATCAACCTGAGAAACTGTGGCAATTCATTAATGTCACCCTTTACTATAACTGCACCATAACTATCATTCCTGTGGCAATCGATCATCATCAAGCTGTTATTGCACGACAAGAATAGAACAGCTTTCGCGGAATAAATAAAGATGGCAGCCTTCATGCCAGCCATCCTTTCCAGGTGGCACGCCAAACGTGATGAAGGGTTGGGGTCGCTCATTCACACTATTGCTGCTGGGTGCAGGACGATATCAACTAAAAGACTTCTACATAGATAAGTTTTATTTTCCTCCACGGCCAGTGTACGTGCACCATCTTCAGATTCGTTCGATAAAGTGATCCCCTTTTTCGTAGCATACAGAATCGAAGAAAACCAGGAGTGATGGAGAGTACCATCCTCGGGGAAATTAACTCTTGTTGCAAGCCATATGTGACCCAAAAAAAGAGCTGTAATGGTGCTGGCATTTGTGATATTGAGGCAAGTAGAAGATTGACTAACATCGATACGTTCGGGTAAAAGCCACAGCGAGACACATGTTCCAGCAACTTTTAAAAAACGTACATTTTCACATAATTCTTTTTCGTTTGGCAAAGTCGTGGTACCCAATTCACATGTAGTATTGTGAAAAGGAACTGATTCAGCACTAACATTAATAGATGGATGAACGGCATCAGTAGAAGGGCTAAGGCTGGGAAACGAGGATTGAATCGTTGGGCAAGAGGATGAATTTGTGGAAGAATCTGTTGAGATTGTTGGGTTCATTGATTGTTTTGTCACGGATGAAACCACCGCAGCAATCGTGGTTGAATTTAAACCAACAGACGGGCATAATGGAGCTGTCTCAACACTTTCTACTCTTGGTCGTTTGGAAGGTGGTGGTATTTGAGGTGGCTCCACGATGTTGCCAATCACCAGTTGCCCTTTCGAATTTGTAGTCAAGTGTTCTCCAAACTAAAAAAAAACATGCACTCACTTTACCACAAACCAATACTCAAACATACAAGTCTGCACGATCCCCATTGCCAGAACTAATAGAAACCATTACTTTTTTGTATTTTACAAGCGATTTACTGCATATTATGAGAATTTATATTGTAATAACTTGGTTTTTATATTATGTAAGCTTCCCACCACCTTTTTGTTTGCATAACGTTCAACAAGTGCTTCTATATAAACTTTTATACAAAGTACGGAAAAGTTTTCTACCTAAAATTTTAGATTAGTTACCTGTCGATTATGAATAGCGATTACGTGTTTATTTTCCTTCTCGTTGTTAAAATGGGTTGCCAATCTCTCAACAAATACGGAGTTATGTGCCGTCAAAGATGTCGTGAAATAGTTGTCACAATTTCTTCTGTTGTTGAGCTGTTCAGCGGTCTCTGAATTTGTCTTTCCAGCAAGTTGGTTGACGCAGGAGATTCTACGTAAGCAATCAGCTGGATCTGTAGAGTTTGCCTCATGAAATTGATCAAATAAGCAGTAATGCTCTGATGATCCAGTCGAAGGATTACGCAGAAGCTGTCCACCATCAAGTCTTTCCTCTTCCCATCCCCTATCCTGTTCTGCGCAATTAGAGAACCAAGGCCAGTCAATCTCCAGCTCACCATCCATTGCCTTTTGGATGTTCTCTTGACTGCATTCAGCAACACGACCATTAAATGGCTGGAAAACGTCGTAGCCTCTATTTCTGGCATGGGCAACCATCATATTCGCCATGTCCAACACAACAACATTCGGTACAGAGGCAAGGTTCATGATCATGTCCACATGATCTCGCGGGCCTTCGTGCCTCAAAAGCCACTTCAAACCATAGCAAATACAGTGCAGACAAGTCATCCCTAACCATCCACCTATTTAAAGAAAGAAAGAGTAGTACATAAACAAAAAATAACACAACAGGTTGCGTCGTCTATAAGTATTTATATTTTTTGAAAATTATGATTACATTATTTACGCATGCATAACATTCTCACCGTAATAATAAAGAACGCTATCCATGCATATGGTTAATAATTTATTTTATTTTTTTGATTATTTTATATGATACTTTATATGATGACTTCATTTTTGTTAAATTTAGGGCCGTTTAAAAATTTCCAACTGGGCAATATATATTCACTTTCTTGCATCCATATGCAACACGGCAAAACTGTTTCTATTGCTTAAAAGTACATGTTTAATGTACATCCAATATCCCATCATCTCACAGGAGTCGAACCTGTGCTTTTCGCGTGGAAAAGAACCGCTTGATGAAGTGCCGGCGAGAATGTACAGTATACGTTTAAAGGTATTAACTTACTAATTAGTATAAACTGCTTTAAATGAGAAAATTGATGTCGAAACAATAGTTTAAATAATTTACAACATTGAATAAAACTCTTAAAATACTTAAATGTATATTTTTTACCTGAACCACCCCACATTTTGGAAAAGAGCTTTAAGAAAGTTCCTTCGATGTTGAGAGCTGACTTTATCCGGTTAATAATGTCCAGCTTCAAGCCCTTATCACTCACGCCCAAATTTTTTTGCCATTTCTCTTATCACCGGGACCTATAAACGAGAAGAATAAAAACAACGGTATTTAAAAAAGTTATAACGTTATTACAGTATAACTGATATGCATGCATAGTGGTTTTCATTGGGTGGGAGGATAATGCTATTAAATATAGATTCCATTCCAAGTGACCTATATCAGACAAAAAAAGAAAACTTTTTAGTCGTTGATTTATGGAGTTGTTAATATTTCGAAACAGGTAAAATAGTGCAAGACGATGTGTTATGTAAGTTAATTCAAAGTTATGTTTGTGTTCTTGTTGTCTAAGTTGATGAGCTATAAGAAAGTAACATACTTTCCCTTCACAGAACAAATCCGTAAGTTTCTCAATAGAGCAATTGTCAGAAGTAGCACCAGCAGATTTAAGATCTTCCTTGTGATTTGCTTTCCTAAACTCTGAGTTGATCAGTTGTCGCCCTCTTCTGCAGTTTGATCCAATGAATGGAGCCCAAAAGCTGTACGTGGGCTTGATTTCCAATGGATTCTTTTCAGTGCCTGCATATAAGTTGAGCAACGGTTATGGCACAATAATAATACAATTAAACAACACACATATAAGGATTACATTCAGTGTAAACAGCGCTGTTATTAACATCTCGAAAAATGTTAGCCATTGATTACCTCTTAGTATTCCTCTGTACAATATACCAAGGTTCACTTGTTGCCAGAACATCTCAGCAACAACTTCCTCAGGATTTCAATCCGACTGCATGTCTGGTAGCTCGAGTTCACTTACTGTAAAAAGCCAAAATACATAAATATAAATAAACATATACACAAAAAAAAACGCAAATAGTAAACTCAAATTTTGATTATCTCAATTGCATCTCAACACTGCCATGACGTACACGCACAAGTTGATTCCACGGTCTACAATGACTGTATAATGAAGCGTTAAATCCGAAAGTGACACCTGTGACGTACTGACTTTAAAAGATCTACAGTATATATGCTGTAGTTCTTTACGCAATCTTGGGCTATACCATTTACCTGCTAGTTCAAACACTCCTTTCATGCATCTAAAGTTAGCAAAGGAGGAAAGTGACCACACATAAGACATGAAAAACCATAGCTGTGCTCTGAAAGGGCCTCAAAATGAAGGTAGGCATTCAGCATTGGGCCACGCGGTAAATGATACGGACGCAACTGCAGCCAGTTCTCGATTGCTTCTACTGTTCGGCTTACAGCATTGTGAACCTAAGAAAACATTGGAATGTTATATATATATTTATATATATATATATATATATATAATTTAAATTCAAACCCGTTAATTTTCAAAAGACTATTTGGCACTGCAAATCACTTCCACTGAGAATCAATTAAGAAGATCACACACCGCATATTTCATACCTGGAGATGCTTTCTGATCATATCACATATTCCATAACTTAGAAGCCAATTGTCATTAAAATTGTGAACACCATCAGCAAATTCTTGATACCGATATGGAAGCTTGCAGTTGTTACAAAACTTTACATATAAAGAAATTCCTGAGAAAGAAGAAATTACAATTAATATTCAAAAACTCATTAATAATTCATGAAGCAATTATCCAATCTTGAGTTAGAAATAAGTCACGTGCACACGTCTTTATACCAGCTAAAGAACACTTTAACAAAAGACCATTGTTATGCAAACTATATAAAGATTTTTATACAAAGATTTTTATATAAAGATCTGAGATCTGAGAAAGATCTGAGAAAGATCTTTTATATGAAGACTCGCAGGTTGTGTTTTATTAGGTCTAAAGCCACTCGCGCTGCACGCTCGTGGCTTTAAACCTAATAAAACACTCCTGCTCGTTTTTTAAATAGTACTTAAAGAAATATAGAACATATTTCATGGATATTCTCCAAATTACATGAAAACTTCAAACTTGCACTCGTGGTTATCATATATGTTTAACTCGATACCAATGCAGAAAGATGTTTTATAATTATTTTATAACACTAGGAAATAAATTTCCGTTTTGAAATTGCGTTATATCATCACAGAAAGTACAAATGCTATATTATAATTACGTACCTTCAATAATTCCTTTAAGTGTCACTAGCTTAGCGTTTTGTGTGATGCAGTATGGCTCTGTCAGTTGGGTTTTACAATAGAAGCAATTGGTCTCTGTCGGGATATAACTAGAAAGCAATAGAAACGATTTATATCGAGTAATGAGCTAAACATTTTTTTATATTTACTGTCGTTCCAATTGAAGTGTTCCTCAAATATTGATTCAATACATTACCTCAGGCTGACCAATTCATTTGATCAAGTTCCTCGAAATATTCATACACTTCCTGTGAAAGAGCCAATTCCAAGAATTTGATCATTTTTGGTCACTTCCTTTCTATTTATGATTGGTTAGTTGCACAAACAACAAAGGTGATTGGTGCATTCAAACTATTCAGCAGGAAGTTTCCATTACACTAGGAAGTGTATGAATATTTCGAGGAACTTGATCAAATGAATTGGTCAGCCTGAGGTAATGTATTGAATCAATATTTGAGGAACACTTCAATTGGAACGACAGTAAACCTACAAATTGAGGAACGTAAAAGATCATACTGCATGTCAAAATTACATGAACTTGTATGTACTACCTTATTGCGCATTAGACATAATTACCTTTTATCAAAATTTTCTTTTTGAACTGTTAATGCCAATGGGAGTTGCGGAGGGATTTTCTTCTCATCCAACAAGTATTTGACAAAGTTGAGAGCAACGTTTCCAGCTGGAGGGTAAAACATTGTGCTTGGAATGGGAAGATTCTCGCCATTGCCAGGTGAGTGCTCATCAGCGACATTTTCGTCAGTTGCAGTAGGGAAATCTTGGGTGTCGCCGATCTCCTCATCCATCTGCAATGTTGTAGATGTGGGAATGACTGAAGGATGCCACTGTGCAATGCCCACTTGGCAATGCATTTATGCATACAAGAGCGACGACCAGAGCAGCACTTGCAGTGAAAGGAGGAGTTTTCTTTGTCAAACGAAACCACCACACATTTGCAAAAAGACCAATAATGATCTCTCTTGATTTTGGCAAATACAGAAAAATGGTAAAAACGAGTAGAAGATTCCGGTGCAAGAGGCATTTGAACAACTAGTGGAACGTTGTCATGTGCAGCTTCCTTCTGCCACTCCAGACATTCTGACTTTCGTTCAAGCTTCAACCATTTTAAAGTATCAACAACAAAATTAAGAGAATCTTCTTGTAAGTGATGAGCAACAACAGAAGGGCATATAAACTGTGTGGACTTAAGATGATCACACAGGAAATTTGCTTGACCACTTCTAGAAGCGGTACTGCTTAGTTGGCGACAAGTATCAACACTACACACCACAGAGGCAGGACATGAAGTCTTGAACTGGCAATGAACAGGATGATCAGTTCCTCGAAATTGTTTACGAACTAAATAAATCCCATTTGCATAGTCAACACACGTTCCATTCAAGTATCTTCCTGACTCTACTCTCTTTCGTTCATCTGCATCATGTTTTGCCTTGATATGGGTAGATAGGGAATTTGGATGGAATTCTCTGCCACAATCAGCAAATGGACACTTGACTCTGATTGGTTGTTGTCGCATCGATCTTGGCTGAGCAGACCTGTATCTAAACTCTTGGAATGACTGAACTGTAGTGGTAAGGTTTGTTTCTTGTTGTTGTTCTTGTAACTGTGTCTGTTGTTCTACTAGTTCATGTTGTTCTTGTTCCCCAGGCTGTGTGGCATGCAGTTGATGACTTGGTTCTTGTAGTTGTTGCTGCTGTTGTTCCTGTTGCTGCTATTGTTGTTGTTGTTGTTGTTGCTGTTGTTGTTGCTGTTGTTGTTGTGGTAGTGTGTGTTGCTGCTGCTGTTGTTGTTGCTGTTGTGGTTGTTGCTGCAACTGCTGTGGTGGTTGTTGCTGCTGTTGTTGTTGCTGCTGTGGTTGTTGCTGCTGTGGTTGTTGCTGCTGCTGCTGTTGCTGCTGTTGTTGTTGTTGTTGTTGTGGTTGCTGTTGGTAATTTTCCTGCATTTGTTGTTGTAATTGTTGACGCCATAACTGTAGTTGTGGTGTCAGTAGCTGAAGGTTATGTGTGGCACGAATGTGCCGGATTGCCTCATTCCTACGCTTGAACCCATGTTCACATCCAAAACAGTGATAATGTGTTATGTCTTGCAGGTTTTTCTCATCTGATTCACGCCGACTTGACGGGAATATGCACGATAGTTTGCATCTTAGTATGTTGAAACCTTAAATGACATGATTGTATAACTTACAAATGAATATAAATTAAGAATACATGCAGTACTGCACTGTACTGGTACTACAGTATAGTATACACATATAACACACTAATCAATACCTTATACAGTACCATTGCAGCAAGGACTTATAGTGCTGTTGTAAATATTTGTTTTGTTTTCAATGACTGTGAATGACATTACATAGACATGCTTGGCCTGATTATCAGATGACTGGATGGGTATTACCAATTGTACAATTTTAGTTAGAAAACCAAACAACCAACACGTCAAGTATTTAGAATATCTCTACAAATTCCTCGAGCTGATAGAGTATTAAGAAAATCGAAATTTCATTAGACAACATACATACATGTATGTGTACCACAGTTCCAACCCCTCAGTTTAACCCATTGACTGACAGTACAGTACTCTAATTACCATTGGCAATTAAAATACACATTGTATGGCATTAGACAGAGTAAAATACTAATTAAAAGTAGGGCACGTCTGTGCAACAGACATTGAGATGCTGGCAGACAGCTGGTGAGATAGTTTTGGAGGAGATAGTTTTGGAGATACTAGGAGATAGTTTTGTTAACCCATTCACTGATATAGTAGTACCCTACTACTCAAAAGTAAATTTGTGGGGTAAAATAATGTGCAAATTATACCATCTTGACCAGTGCTTATTACCAGTATGCAGAAGGGTTAATGTATGTTTGGTATAGGTAATAGCATGGTTTCGAGTGCAATTTGGATATAACATGCACGAGTGAGTTTTTCAAAGACCTCGAAATAGCACGAGTGCTATTTGAGGTCTTTGAAAAATTCACGAGTGCATGTTTATCCAAATTTCACTAGAAACCATGCTATTACTTATTAATAATTTACATAAAAATGTTCGAGACAATTGTAGTTTTAACTTACGCGTTTATAGCGAACATTCCACCGGCAAACTTTTCCTGGCTTTGTTATATCACATTATGCAACGCTAACAGCTTGAAAATTCCACTCAACTATGTAATTTTTGTTAGTCTTGTTTAAGGTCAATGCTTTTCCATTTAAAAATAAAGATAAAAGCCACGCGAAAACAACTTTTACTTCACTGTAGCACGGCGCCATGTTTGTTTTGTTTTGAAGCAATCTGTGACTGTTACTTCTTTAAACTAAATTTGCTTTAAACTGATTGGTTGATTTAATCATCACAATGTTTTCCCACCAATCAGATCAGTTTGTTACAGATTTTTGCACTGTGATTACAGAAAATTGCACTGTGATTACAGAAAATTGCACTGTGATTACAGAAAATTGCACTGCTGCTTTGGATTAACTGCACTGAAATCAACCAATCACAGTCGAGTAATATCTTTATGTATATTATTATGTATGTTAGCGCTGCTGAACCGAAAGATGGATATAGACAATTTCAGTAAATGCAACGTACGTCTAGGTAGCTAGCCTGCTTCGCAAATTAATCCTTTTTATAGACATAAAATAAAGTATAAATACAAAAGGCTGATTGAGATTCAATCAAACAGTGAATCAGGCAAATTAACAAGATCAATCAGACTGTTTTGGGATTTTAATGGCAATTAAGTAACGTTTTTACTATTGATATTATATATGGAACGCCATGTGTCCAAAAATTATTTAACGTTATTATATCATATCATGCATGACTAAAACTGTCATTGTATATAAATAATTGATAAACGAACAGACATTATATCAAATCATGACTTATTCGTTTTTGTCGTTATTTGATATAATGTTATCAACATTAAGCATTATATCATATCAAGAACTTCCGAAAAGTCATGATATGATATCATGACATTTTGACAATCATTATATCATATACATTTCGACAAAATCATTAATGTTATCATAAGCATTTGTGTAAGTCCTGATTTGATATAATGCTAATGCATTACACTATAATATCAAATAATGACTTTTCAGTTGATTCATGATATGATATCATGTAAAAGAACTTTTTCATTATATCATATAATGAAACAGCCCCGAAAAGTCATTATTTGATGTAATGCAATAGCGTAGTGCGCCATCTGTCCAAAAATTAAAACTGTCCAAAAATCAATTAACCTTATAAATAACTCAAACGTCTGGTAACTTAAAACCTCCGGTATCCCAGTTGATTTGGATCCCCGTAGATTCGGACTGCCTGTCCATATCCACTAGTAGATTTGGGCCTGCACCCATGGACCATCAAGGCTACAATCGACTTCCTCTGTTTTGCGCTTTCAGCAGCCAAGAATTCTGCTTGCATTCGATTTTTTAAAATTTATAAAAAGGGTGAATTATGGCGAGTGGTGAACGTTGCTGGGAAGAAGCAATAACTAGAGCTGTGCAAGGAGCTGTTGCATTGCATTTAATATCCATCCCCCTCTATGGATGTCAGTAAGATTTTAACCTCTAAGAAAAAAAGATCAAAATGTCGACACAAACCCCCTTCAGAAATTTGTAAATTTTCCCCTTACGCCTCAGAAAAATCGCATACATCAAAAAATGCCGACAGGCTTAACCCCTCAGAAACGACTTTGGGGTCACCCTGCGGAAAAATTCATCTATTGGGGGGAGGGGGGGGGGCTGGACATTAAAAGAGAATGCACCCAGAGGCCAGGAGCAATTCTCGCAGCCAGAATAGAGCTCGACTAGCACAAGTTTAAGTTGAAACGTTATAAACCAGGTTGTATGACCTATACATACTTAGTGTTTCAAATAAGTACTGAGGCATTAAGCTTTACCTTTAAATATTTATCGATATCTTATTTTACATAAAGGCCGCAGAGAATTATACTCAGAATAGTATGGATTAGTACCCTGAGCCGTATTCTTATAAATAACGGTGGCAATCATATAATAAAACTAATAATAATAATAGCCGGCAAACTTTGTGAACGACTTGCCCCAACTAAATATCGAGGGCAGTGTTGTTTGCTCTGGTTGTTTTCTGTTTATATTATGGTTGCCACCACGGATGTTTATAGACTGTATAGCTCCTGTGCTATTCTGAGTATAATTTTCTGCGGCCTTTTATGTAAAATAAGATATTGATAAATATTCACAAAGGTATAAAAGCTTAATGGCTCAGTACTTATATGAAACACTATGTAGGTGATACAGACCTGGTTTATAACGTTTGAACTTAATCTTGTGTTGGTTGCGCTCTACGCCGGCAGCGAGAATTGGTTTGGTGTGGACGTGGTCGCCTCTCGCCGTACGTAATTCAACCTTTTTAAATTAAAAAATCAACTAGAAGCAGGATTCTTAGCTGATGAAAGCGCAAAACAGAGGCGGATCGATTGTAATTGAAGAGATTTGTTTGTAGCCTTTGGCCCATGGCATTCCATAATTATATGTATTATTGTATATTGTGGTAAACTGCTAATTATTTCATACCATATTAATTCACATTATTAATAATAAAAAATATACTTGACGTCCCATTTATCATTTTATTTATTTATATTATCAACATTTCCCACTCATATTTCACACTATTAATAGGAAGGCATTTTACAGCTTTTCTAGATATTTGCACATTATTAATTGTGAATGATAAATTTTTAATGATGCAAAAATTTGCAAGTATAATTTACCTGGAAATTCATGAATCCTGTTTTCCCAGTGAACTTTTTTGAAATGGTCCTTTACTCGCGAAGGATGCTCTTTCGCACATTTGTTGGGAGGACATAATGAACAATGATACAATCTTCCATTACATCCCACAGTCACCTCGACTACAACGTAAAACACTGAAGTCGCACGTTCCAGCATCAGAGTATATCGATGGATGCGCTAAAGGATTTGCATACCTGCTCTGTTTTTCCGCCATTTTGCAAATCCTACTTATTACTTCGAATCGCGCAGTACCAAAGTACTGGGAATGTCGTGTATTTGCTCTTCAGCGTCATGTATATGCTCGTGAGTGTCGTGTATTTGCTCATCAGTATTATGCAAGAGATGACCATATATGGAATACGTACTATAAGTGCCTATCAGCGTGGTAGACCAAGGCTTTTGATTTCAAAAGAACAGTTAGAAGGTCTGCGGTCGCTTGGTTTTTTGTGGATATCTATTTCTAAAATGCTTGGTGTTTCGGAAAAAACTGTAAGGCATCGAAGAGACGCATATGGTATCCCTTCAACTCATGAACAGTTCATGGAAATAACAGATGACCAAGTTGATGATCTTGTTAAATATGCTTTAGAGGTGTCACCAAACTGGAGAAAGAATGGTTATGGGTTCCTTAAGGGGACGAGGAGTTTATGTTCAGAGGTGGAGAATCCGGAAATCAATTTGGTGGGTTGATCCTGTAAATCGAGAACTTAGACGTAGAACAATTACCCAAAGAAGAGTCTATAATGTTCCTACACCAAATTCTTTGTGGTAAGCATGAACAATTATATGTATTGTATGCCTTGTTTGCTGTCTATTACTTACCCATTTCTTAGTTTGCAGCTTTTCTAAAAATTCGAGGAGACATCCTTCAAAGTCTGAAGTTGAAATTCCAATCTGTGAATGGGCATACTCTACCCTATGAAATTAGAGATCACTAGTTTCATAACCATGGGCAAATCACTAGTTTCATAACCATGGGCAAACCACAAAAGCATTGAATCAGTACAAGGGTTTGATTTGGTATACACATACAGTTAGAACATATTATATGAATTTTTTAAGGCACCTTGATGGACACCACAAACTCATAAGATGGCGCATCATTCATGGTGCCATAGATGGGTATTCTCGGGTTGTTATTTTCTTAAAAGCATCAACTAACAACAGAGCATCAACAGTTTTGGAATGCTTTTTAACTGCTACTCAAGTCTTCCACTACCCTCGCCGAATAAGAACAGGTTTTGGTACAGAAAATGTGGATGTAGCCCAGAATATGTTGAACAGATATGGCCCAGCATCAAACCCTGTCTTAACAGGACAATCTGTTCACAATCAGTGGATAGAACGGCTGTGGCGTGATGTGCACAATTATGTTTCTACATTCTATAAGAATGTATTTTACTACCTGGAGTCAATTGAAATGTTAGATCCTAACAACGAAATTGATTTGTATGTTTTGCATTATGTCTTCATGCCACGATTGAACAAGTCATTAGATATTTTTGTGATGCAGTGGAATAACCACCCGCTTTCTAGTGAGCATGGCCGTACACCATTCCAAGTGTGGACAAAGGGATTTTATAATTTTGCCCTGTCAGATCGAACATCAGTGAGAGAAGTTTTGGACCCAAACTTTGTGGACTTTCAACATTATGGTATTGACGATGATGGACCCTTGCCAGAAGTGCAAACAGAAAATTTTGTTGAAATACCAAGGTCAGCAATTGAGCTTACAATTGACGAATATCAATTATTAACAGATAATTCAGACCCTTTAGTTGATGATAATGATCATGGTATTACTGCATATCAAAGTGCAAAAAATATATTGATAACTATATTAAATGATAGGCATGCGGTAGAAAGCAACAAAAAAGCTAATTTATCATTTGTTTAAAGAGAGCAAGAAGTTTAAAATTCTGCAAAAATGGATTTTCTAAAAGTTTGATTAACTGTACTAATAAGACTTATCATAATATCTTTCCGAATTTTATATCTAGAATTGTCAGAACCTCACTGATTAACATTTTTTAAAATAACCCTAACTTGATATAAATAATATATACCTTATATGAATAATATTATATATATATCTTCATTGACACTCTAGGCCATAGTATATTGCTTGGCAAACTTCCTGCGTATGGTGTCCCCATGACAATGAACTTCTATGGTTCACTGACTATCTATTTGGGAGACAACAGTATGTACAGTTAGGGAAAGGCACCTCGAGCATGCAATCAATATACAGTGGAGTACCTCAAGGATCAATTTTGGGACCGCTGCTGTTCAACCTGTATTTTAATGACTTTGCAGATCATCTGTTGAAAACAAATGTCTTAATGTATGCTGATGATACTGTTATTTACCGTGCTGGAAAGGATATTGAGACTATAGAAAATGTGTTGACAAAAGAATTGGAACAGGTGGCAAGATATTTTGATGAAAATCAGCTGGTGATCAACTTGAAGAAAGGTAAAACAGAGGTAATGCTATTTGGAACGGCCAAAAGACGTTCATTGCAGAATCGTCAATTAAATATTACGTATCGAGGTGTACCAATAAATAACACCAATGAATATACCTATCTTGGTTATACACTGGATAACAGTCTTACGTTGAAAGGTTGCTTTGATAAAGCTTATAAAACGTGCTGCAATCGCCTCAAGCTCTTATCTAAATTAAGACATTATGTAAGCTCGGACACTGCAAATAGGATATATCAGTCTACGATTCTCCCAGTTGTTACGTACTCTGGGCTTTTGAAACTTCAGTTCACGAAGACCCAGTCGGACAGGTTTCAATCAATTGAACGTCGCGCGGAAAACATCATTGCTCCTGACGAACACGGTCAAATGCCTTCTATTATCAAGATATTACATAAACAGTCGTGTAGTATTGTAAGGAAATGTCTAGACAATCGAATGTGTACCAACTTTGATAACTATTTCAAAATTAAAACTGGTGGTATCAATACAAGGAACAATAATTTTTTTCTAAAACTACCCAAAGTAAAGTTAGAGTTTGCGAAACAATCATTTTATTATTTAGGTGCAAAAATCTATAATGATTTGCCAATCAAAATAAGACGAGAAGGAGATTATGACCAATTTCTTAAGCTATTGAAAGACTATTATAAATAGGTACATGTGAACTGTAGTCTTAATTGACTTAGCCTAATTTTTAAGTTTTTGAAAGACTTTTGTAATAGGTAGACTGAATAATAGATTTTGAACTAACTTATTTTATATCTATTTTATTGCTTGTATTTTAATTTAGAAGTAGAGAGGGCACATATTGATAACAGTGTCTTGTGCACTGAAACGTTTTACCCTCTGTAAAGATTTTTGTAATAATAATAATTATATGAATAATATTATAATATATTAACTCTATATAAATAATATATAGATACTGTAACATAACAAATCAAACTCTAAAAGCAGTTCACAATAACTGAGAACTACCATGATAACAAGAAAGACTGTCCCACACACAATGCAAGTAACAATATCACATAGAATACCGTGGTTTAGGCTTTGTGAAATCCACATGAGTCAAACAACGACCTTGACAATAGCTCCTAAAAAGAAGTAGGATCTTCATGACCTCTTGGCAATGCTAGGGTCATAGCACATGTTCATGAATAAGGATAGCGTGTAGTTCCATTCTCTTGATCATAGAAGATAATGCTCAACAACTCTGGAAATCCCAATGGTGGAATGGAATCTGCTCCAGTCATAAACTAAAGTAGATGTTCTAAGTGGACAGGCAGCTCTTTTGTGGCACATGTATAATTCAACTGGCAATCTGAAGTGAAAAGTATAAAAGGGATGGTGGTGTAAAATACAGCTTGACCATTATTGGGTTGTTAAAGGGAAATGGCAATATATTTCTTATTTTCTAATTTGAAAGAACTTTTGAAACTATTTAATAACTTCTTTTACCGATTCTTCATATCTTGCTTAGTTATTGAAATATTTTCACTTGAATATTAATGAGATGTCAGCCATCTTGGATACATTTTTTATCTCATTAATGGTAGTTTTGGTGACGTCAGTACACGTCACAACCACTGAGCTCTACTATATATATCTGGAGACCATGCTCCCATATCTCGTCAAACAAAAAAGTGTCCGCAAAAACATGGCGGATTTCGAGCTCTGCGTCCACTATTTTCAGGCGATTTACCACTGACCACATAATATTTTTGAAACCCACCTGTTTTCACACACCCCTGGATGCAAAAAGTATACACTGTGTAATTATTAAACTATCAAGTTTCACAACTTTATATTTTGACATTTTGTCAACATGCCGCGTTAATATTGCTCGGTTTATGGTTGTTACAACTCCTTTTACAAAGAAAGTCCGTATTCACACTGGTAAGGAAATATTATTTTGTGCTTAGATATCATTCGAGAAGTTTTTTCTGCAAATGACAATGTAAAGCAAACGGTAGTTATGTTTTGTTCACGTGCATGTGTCAGCAGCTTTTCTCGACTATGGCTTCTTTTCTGAGGTTTTTGCATGCAGTTTGTTTCATTCAAATATTATATTTCCATTGTTCCTTGTGATGGTTCTCGTGTGCGTTTTTCCTACCTACTGTACAGTGTATTTTATAGGCCTGTTTGTATTTATGAAAGCATATTGTTATTGAATTTTTTCCCTTCACATATTTAAGCATTCCTGATGCAAAGAAGCATCCAGAGTTGTACAGCATATGGGTTGAGTATATGAATAAACATGCGACAGTGAAGTCTGTTCCTGCGAAAAGTAGCCGTTTGTGTGAAGATCACTTTAGTGCTGATATGTATGAGATATAGGGGAAAAGCCAGAAATTAGTATTGAGACCGGATGCTAATACCAACAATAGTTACACAAAGGTTTGCTCAGGTCATTGGTGCGATTTAAAGTGTTAAAGTGTTATATGTAACAGTGTGCATGAGTTACATTCTTTGCTAAGGGACAAGTCATTATTAATGCCGGGTAGGGGGCTGGAGGAAATTTTTATGAATAGCAAAAATTTTTCATGACCCCTTATTTTTCTAAAAAACTATTTTATCCCCCCCCCCCCTTATTGAGGCAACATATTTCATAGCCCCCCCGCCCCCCTCCACCCCAATTCTGAATTCAAGTACTCTAAGTCAGTTTTGTAACCATTTTTCCTGCCCTCATACTCAGTTTACTTGCAGATGTAAAGAATATTGTAAATATTGAAAATAAAGAATATTGTAAATATTGAAAATGATAGCCAAGTAGATAATTCAGACTTTATACCTGAAAAGTTGTTGGTCCTCAAACAAAAAACCCACAAATCGGACCTATTTTTACTAATTGAATAAAATACATTTGTGTCTGGTGGAAGCATTACTGTATATTGAAGAGATGGCAGAAGAGACTGTCAACAACATGCAGAAGAGGTCCACTGTGTTAAAAGCAGGACAACAACTGTCAACTGAATCTTGCATTTGCAAATGCAGTGCATGACCCTTTAGACAAATTCTTTGGTGATGATGAGAATGACACTTTCCATATACAGTGCCTAGAACACAACTTTTAGGTTCAATATATTGGGCATTACTGTTCAATGTATGTATACTGTATATATCCATCACTCTTTTGATATTGCATGTTACAAACTATAGATTTTATTTTTTGCCCCCCCCCCTTTATGTTCAAAATATTTTCTGCCCCCCCCCCCTTCACTGGTCAAAAATTTTTTGTGGCCCCTCTATATTAAAATTTATTGTACATTTACTAGGAATAGTATGCTGGATGTGTTTTAAAAGAGGGCATACAAAATTGTGTGCCCAAACAGAGCAAAAACCCACTCAGACAGTTGTTCAAGAACAACATAATTGGCACAATTGCCATGATATTAAATTCACTAAGTAACTTTGTGTATGTTATAATGTGTGAATGTTGTGTGTTAATTTTAATTTATTTATTAGGCCATTAATAAATATTCTTGGTTTGAAAAATATTTTAGGGGGGGGGGGATGTCCCCACTGCTGGTGCCACCACTGGAAATATCAGCTAATTATATCCAGCATAGCTTCAATAAAATATATTGAAGTAAATATGACATTAAGTACTCTTTTATTCAAAGCGATAGCTATGTGCGTGTTTCACTTGTATCATTTGGGACAACCCGAGAATACCCTTATGGAATTAACAAAATAAAACATGGGTATGAAAGCAAGAATACTTATTGATGGCCTGTAATAGTAATATAGTAATATTGTATATATTTTTAAATTAAACTTTTTAAATGTTGAATAAATCTAATTTGTAATGAAAATTAATAATGCACATAAGAATATGTTTAATAAAATAATATATAATTGTTTGGTGTGCTAGATCTTTAATTAACTAATCTTTTGCCTGGTCAAACAATATGATTCTATTGCCATGAATTGCCATTGAGTATAACAATGATTCCAGTGACAAACGTAGAGCCATATACATTTGGGTATTTATTAGTGCAGATTTACTTCCCCATAATGTACACAGAGTACATTGTGAGTAGACATGATCAACAATGTGCAGTTTCCATAATCTGAAAAATACAAACAGCAGTAAATATTTAGATGATACATGCATAAACCAACATAAGTTTTGTTTCAACAAAGCATGGCTGTGTTCACAAATTTATACATTAAAATTATATGTATAGTAGAAATGCAAAAGGAACAACATACTTTTTATACAATTTGAAAGAGAATTATGCACATATCAACGGTCTGCCCGGGGGGTACACCTTGGGACAACTGGGGGGAAACGAGGGGGAATTTGGTATATTATCTGTGTGTTCTGCCTGTGAACCCCGGGGAGATTAGGGAGTGGTCATTATTTATGGGGAGGGGGGTGTTGGGAAATGGGGAAAATAAGGATTGAAAACTTTTTTGACCCCCCTCCAGACTGAAGGCAAACTTTTTGTGTCTCCCCCCTCATAAAAGTAGAAACTTTTCTGACCCCCACCCCCCAGTGTAGATTGAAAAATTAACAGCAATGAAACAGGTGTGCATTGCATGTAAAGTTAGATATTAGGACAATCTGTTTAATCTAGCTCATGATGTTTTACCCTGGTGAATATGATTCAACCATATGTGATTAAAAATATATATTATGTGTTACTACTTTGCAATGCAACATTTGTCCCACCATAACCCTAACCCATGACCCGTCTTCATACAGCAAAATGATTTGAACACAGAGTTTTTTAAGAACTTGTCTGGGCACCAACCATGGTAGTGCCTCGCAATCATGGGAGTCGCGGGCACACTAAGTTTAACAAGCTTGCTACCCCCTGAGTGACCCAGTTGTGGTATTTACATAAACATACCATGCAAATACACTTAACTGATCAGATTCGGTCTATCAACACACAATGTAACGTTGTATATCCAAAAATCTGTTTCAGAAAATGCTTACATTTCAGTTCTAGGGGTGAAAAAATACAAAACATTTTCTGGGGGAGAATCCCTGGACCCCCCTACTAGTACATACAATACCACAGCAAACTTTTTGTCACCAACAACCATCTGTCATCTCTCCGCACTCAATAATAGTATGGTCCCTTCTTGTAGATGTCCACCCCAGAGCAGGGAAATTTTGAGTATCTAGATTGTTGGAAATAGCATTTTCAGAGTCTTCTTTTTTGCTATTTGTGATTATAGAAATCAGAACTCTAGACATGGCATTTAAGTTCAAAAACTTTTATGACCCCCCCCCTTTCTGTGTTAAAACTTTTTTGATCCCCCCTATTTATAAGGGTAAAACTTTGTCCACCCCTCCCATTTCCCAACCCCCCCTCCCATAAATAATGACCACTCCCTTACAAACTTTGCAATAATAGGACAATGGGGGGAGGGGGACTTTGACGTGATTTCAACAATTTACATAGTTGGTGTGAACTCAAAATCACAGGCTCACACAGAAAAATATCGATCGGCAACTTATTATTTATGATATTTTGTAGTGGTCTTGCTAAAATTTGAATAAATAAATACGGAATACATGAGTGCCATTGTGATACCCCAGTTTGTATAATAATTTTTAATTGTTTGTATGCTATTTATATTATGAACTACTTTATTGTAAGTCCAGGGGGAGGGCAGTTTGACTTACACATTTCCCGGGGGAGGGAGGGGGAATTAATGCATTAGAATCATGTTTTTGCAAAGTCCCGGGGGTGTACCCCCAGGGCCAGGCCATTGGTATGTGCATTATATACAAGTAGTAATCGAGTTGAAATATTATAATAGTAATAAATTATAGTATATTTCAATAAATGAATGTATGGTACAGTACAAGTGTTTCATTAAAATTTTGAAAAATGCCTCACCTGTAGTGCTTTTCAGCTTTTGTTGTTTATTTATTAACATATGGAAACAGAATCACCATAGTCCTCGAAATTTCAAAAGTTTGTTTCCCTTCATGACAATTATTTCAATTTCTCGTTAATTTAGTAATTTATTACTCATTTTCTACGGCTCCACACAAAATACTGTAGGTCTGCACCTACCGATACTGCAAAAGCATACATGCGACATGGGCAAAAATACCACCATTCGTTCAGCTCATTTATATTATCTGTTTGGATCATTATTTATACATTTCACAGCAGAAATTGTGGAGATAGTCGCTCGAATGAATTAATGATCCAGCTTGAACTTGATAGTAGTTGGTAAAGTTCAGAAGAAACCTTTTACACCTATATGTAACTATAAATATTTACTAATTTCAAATCTTCTCCAATGTACTCCTTTTTTAAAAATTATAAAGAACAGTGGCTCTCTGGTCAGGGGGGAGTGGGAAATGTCGCCCGCACGCATTTGAGCTGTGGTCAGTTAACGTACCATGAGAATAGTGGACGTGGAGCTCGAAATCCGCCATGTTTTTGCGGACACTTTTCATTTGCGAGCACGGTCTCCAGATATATATAGTAGAGCTCAGTGGTCACAACATGGATTAACCATATAAAAGTATTCGTTGCTGACCAAATACTGATTGGTATACGTTTTAAAGGTTTCAAGTGATTTTGATATTTCCAAGGGCATACAGAGTATAATTTTGAGTGCAAAATGATTGGTGGTTGTATAGATAAAAATATTGCGTGACGCCTGTTGTGACGTAACATGCATATCTACAAAATCCAATATGGCGGACATTTCATTTCTTTCGATTAAAATATTTGTAGAAGTAAGCAAGATACAAAAAAAACGGTAAAAGAGTTTTATACATGGTTTTAAATGTTCTTTCAAACAAGAAAATAAAAAAATATATTCAGATATATCGCTATTGTGTGGTTAAGTGTGTTAGTTTGAAGCCAATCAGAGAAAAACAAAAATTAAGAATTATGTAATTAGAATATAACCTTTGAATGACTGCCTGTTCGCTGGCCATAACACGGTAAAACAAAATGGTGGCCCCTTCACAAGTACAAAAACATGAAGGCCACTACAATATCAGAAACGGCTAACATTAAAACAACCTATTGAATATAATGTGTAAAGAACTGTTTTTTATACAAGAATAATAGTTAATAAATGTATTCCCATAAAAAAAAACTTTAATCAATGCTATTTGTATTGTACAACTGTACCTTCAATCTTTTTCAAGTATAATTCGAAACAATAGATTGTGTCATCCTCTTTATGTCTTCTATTGCTGCCTTCGGGACTCCACTCAATAATATATAATGATTTGAAAGTATCCCTTCTTAGTGCCACTGGTAACTCTGTGAAGAGTGGTTGGAATTCTTTTGGATACAAATGTACTTTGTTCCAAGTACCATCAACATCGTTTAGCCCATCCTTGAATTGCTCAATTTCTGAAGACACCCTACGTAGCAGTCAGAAGAAAATATTAACTACACTACATAATTAGTGTAACCCTTCTAATTTTAAACGTTCTGTTGGCACCAACGTTCATTTGAAATGCCCTTTAAAAAGGTTGTTTATAACTTTTGTCCACAACTACTTTTCGGTGAACAAGGAAAGCATTCATCCAACGGCAATTTAAAATTGGCTAGGAAACAAAGTTTCCTGGTTTACCCACCCCACTTTCAGGAAACATGTCCAGGAAACAATGTTTCACAGTTTGCTCAACTTCTGAAAACATGGCTAGGAAACCATTTTTAATAGTTTGCTCACAGGTCTTCGTTTTATCACAAGTATTAACATCGACAATTTAAAGTTTTTTCACAAGTATTAACATCGACAATTTAAAGCATCTCCAAAAAATTTTTGTTGAGCTACATTTTGAAAAGCCAGTGATGTAACAGAAAGTGGTAATATGCTTACCGTAGATAGCAGGTGTAGGATACTCGATAGTAAACCATCAATCCTGTAATATGTTATATGGTTTAATATATTTATCTATTCCTCCAAAGAATGAGAAAAATCCTCGCCATAATTAAACAAACTCTTGAGGTTTCTGGATTTACATTAATTTGGGGACCACACATTATGTTGTATTATACAGTGCATTCCAGTCAGCAAAGTTAACATACTGTACAGTAATTCTGAACCGTCTTTGAACAAACAATGTATTGTACTTAAAATCTTGAAAATATACCTGCACCCAATTCTTCATTGTCTCCAAGCCAGTACAATAACTTACCTATAAACCAGATACTGCTTGATCAATGCCTTTACGATGAACTGCTTCTGATCCAATTTTGCCAGATATATCGATTGATAGCCTTGGTTGGCAATATAGTCTGCCCTTTCTTTCAGAAATAACTTAAGTCTTCTTCAGAATCCAAAAACTTTAGCTACATATAAAAAGTTACAGGTGTATATATAAAAAAATCCATTGCAGGAGGCTTTAGTCTAGTACTGTAACAGTAGGTTACATTAGCTATTGATTAATTTTAAAGAGAAGTTTATTTTCTCTTACATGCAGTTGTGATCCACATACCCTTTAATTAACTAAAAGCCGTTTAATTAATTTAATAGCATACATGCAGTTAGTAAAATATACTAACAGACAAGTGTATTCCTGTTCAGAGCATGACTGTAATTATAGATTTTAATTGGTCAATATCTTGTTTTATGGCAGATCCACAATGGAAGCATGGCTGCCAATCACCATTCTTTTTGAATATCACCAAAATTATTAGAGGTATAAAACCTTAAAAGTACAGAAGGTTATTACAGAGCAAGTTCCAACATTTTCTGATATTCTTACTAGATTGATTTTTGAAATGGCTTAGGTTGTGATTCTCATTGGAACATTTGAATAGTGTACTACATTGTATAACTGATCTTTTGAATATATACTGTGGGGGTGCGACTTTATGCAAATGCGAAAAAAAAATAGTAGGTTTCCGACCGACCTGTCAAAAATATGATCGACCATAAACATTTTGTTGACGTTTCCCAGTAGAGATTACCCTGGGTGCCAGAGGTTCTTCCACGCTCGTAGGGGGGATAATGAGGGATACACGAGGATTCAAGCTGCAAGGCAGAGAGCGGGAGGAACCTCGGGAACACTTCTATGGCTTTTACTGTTTTAATTGTCACATGTCAATCAAACGTTAGCCAATAAGGTAAGTGCTAAATTGTGACAGATGATATTTGTGGGCATGTGCCATCAGACGTTTGAGGGATGGAAAACAAATTACAAAGAATAAAAGAACTGTTTAACATTACATGTCACAATATGGCGTCTGTCAAAACACCTGTTAAAAGCGTTATAAAGTTTGTAGCAAATTCATCGCTACTCACAGTGGGTATTTTAACATCTTCAGTGAGAAGTCAAATGAACGTGGCCTCTCAGAATTTTTGTCAAATGTGCCCGAAAGTGAAGTTTCTGACTCAACGGGTTCTGGTCTGATGTGCAAGAAATGTTTTTGCATGTTGGAACGGTGCAGCTCGTCGCTAGAAGAACTCAAAAAGTTGAGACAAAACCATCGCACCAATACAGGAAAATGGCGCTCTGAAAACCCCGAACTTATTCGCCAAAAACGTTGTTCAAAATCGTTTTGAACAAGGTCAAAGTCAATTTAGAGTGGAATCCAAACGCTCTCTTGTTTTAAACTCCAGTGACAAAGAAAACCTGCCATCTGAAGTGTCCCTGACAATTTTAAATACAAAGCCTAAGAAAGTTGAGGTAAGCATTTTATAGTTTATAGTGGCTACTGTATTTGACTGTACGTTCTATATATGAAGTGTACTACAAGTAAACAAGTGAATAATTTTGTGTCCCAAAATAATAAAATATAAAAGTAAAATGCAAGCAGCTGTCACACGTGTCAGTATGTTTATACTTTATCGAAATTACTAAAGGAATTCGTCACAATATAGCACGTGGGCTAGTCACAATAAATTGATGATAAAAATATATTTTCTAAAGGAATCACAGCAGAATAAAAGAGCAACTAGAGGCTTAAATAAAAAGTCTATGAAGATTTCTAGTAGGTCTCTATCACAAAATCTTTTAAATTATTGCAATATATTTTAAGTAGCTTTTTTATACATGGGGAAATTTTTTTAAAAAACATAAAAACATTTGCTTTTCTGCAAAGCAGTGAAACGATTTTCAAGGCTTATTTTTAATTTACATTCATATTTAATGAGTACAATCATTCATTTGACTGTCTTTTTATTATTTACTAATTAAAACTAAAGATTCTTGATACTCCAAGAACTCAAAGAACTGTAAAAATGCGAATATACTATATATATGTTACAATTGGACTGTAATTTGACACGCACATCCAAATTCAGTTTCACATACTGCGAGTGACAGTGATGATGTATTACATGTAAATGTTTCTCACTTTGTCCTCTATTAACTATGCTTTGTTTCATGTTCATTTTCATAATGAGGGCTATTTTTAATGAGTTTGTAAAAATATAGTGACTGTCTTGTTGCCGTATCATTATGAAAGCAGCCATAAGAACAAGACTAATATTTAAAATGGTATCAACGCGTGTCTGTATTTTCCGTTTTCGTGAGGGATTTACAGTAGTATAAATTAGTTACAGTAGTATAAATAGTCAGTATAATTATGTAAGTTTTACTATATAGAACCATACTTTTATTATTTTATTTGTAATTACTATTGGCATGCTTTCATTAAATGCATATTTTTCAACCTGATATTTAATATACAAAGGTCTCACCTTTTAATTTACAAACAGTGGTGGATTTAGGGGAGGGGTGCAGGGGGGGTGAGCACCCCCCAGGCGATGGTCAACAGGGGTGCATGAGGGGGTGCAAAAATTATGTTTATCCTAATTCTAACCAACTTATGTTAAGGAATTCAGTTGGGTATCACTAATTGACAATAGCAGAATATCCAATATTAAATATTCTGAATTTTTAAATGTTTTGAGAATCTAAAAATTTTCCAGAATGTTTTCTCATAATGCTGGAAATGCCATTTCAGAGACCCAAATTTTAAACATTTTCCAGAGTATGCCCCCGGACCCCCTACAAATCTTGCGCCTTCAGCGCTTGACTGGTGGTTTCACCATTGGTTAGCACCCCCCCCCCCCAAAAAAAAACTTTGCTGGATCCACCACTGTTTACAAAGGTTCCACCTCAACACACAGGCATACTCACAGACAAGCTGTGACTGCTGCACTATTAATTGTTTTAATATTTTGATAATGTTCTATCATGTATTGATCGAAATGGTACAATTTTATCCATTTTTTATTTAATACTGTCCATTCAAGGAGGGAGATTGGGCAATTAACTTATTGCCCTGCCCATTCAACTCGATAGTGAATACGATATACAAGCTTTTATTTTAAATCATTAAGCAATGCTTATTATAAAAGTAATTGAGGTTAGGTGCACTTTAATGGATCCCGGATATTATGCATAAATGCAGCCAGAGGTGTAGCCAAGGATTCTTGGTCAGGTAAGCAGGAAAAATCTAGGTGGGGCCAGGTTTCACTTACTGCTTGTAGAATACATTTTCTCGGGGGGGGGGAGCATTTTTCTAGGAGGGCCGCGCCCTGGCTATGTCTCGGAATGCAGCAATTATTCTGTAATATTGTCTCTGGAATTTTGTATGGTTATAATATGGTGAAACAAATTTTGTTTTTAAATTTATAAATGAAAACAACTTAAGAGATGAGTTAACCATGCATGCAAATTGTTTATATATATATATATATATATATATATATATATATATATATATATATATATATATATATATATATATATATATATATATATATATTATTACCCTGGGTGTCAGAGGTTCTTCCATGCTCGTAAAGGGGGATAATAGAGGATAGACGGGGTATCCCCCTTTACGAGCGTGGAAGAACCTCTGGCATCCAGGGTAATATATTATATATTCCATAAATCCATAATATATTTCAAATTATTTATTCTAAGGTTATTCTAAACCACGAATCTGGATCTGTGAGGCGCTACCCCAGGATGAAACTGACAGCAAAGCTATCAAACAAATCATCACTGGTCAATATGGTTATGCCTTGAATGCTCTTTGGAGAAAACAAGTATTTAAGGAAGCTCTTATAAAGAAAGTAATGGCGGAAGTCTCACTGGAATGTGAACAGTTATGCTCTTTGACAAATCCATCTATTCTTAGAGATGCCTCCCCAAACGGACTAAAATCATTTAATGAAACTGCCCATGTTGAAGAACTACAGAAAAAAGCCCCTATTTTTCATTCCATTCTTCAAGCAAGCGCCTCTTCGTTAAAAGATGGTAGTAAATGTGATTTCAAACATGGTGTCAATCCACGCTGTTCAATATCAGTGGCAGCTTCTGCACTTCTTCGGGCAAGATGCCCTCAAATGAGTGTACAGTCATACAGACTCGCCCTAGTGTTATGGCACAGTGGAGCGAGAAAACAAGTATGTATAATTTGATCTGCAGCATAAACAGACCAGCTATCCCCAGCAAAAAAAGTCTATAGACCTGGCCTATAGGCCAACCTATAGGTTTCTATAAGAAACCTATAGGTTTTTATAGGCAATTGGAACATTTTCTATAAATGACCTATAGGGATGCATATAAGCCTGTAGAGCTCTATAGGTGCCTAAAGGCTTCTATAGGGAATTGGAACATTTCCTATAGGAACCTATAAGGCCACCTATAGACTTTTTTCGTAAGGGCTGGTCTTCACTCAGTCGAGGCATACTGGCCCACAGGGATAGCAGGAAGTGCCCCACCCCATTTTTCTACTCTTTGGTGCCCCCTTAAATTGTATAAAATTGTATCCAACAGAGCACCCCCTTTCCAAGTTTTCCCGGTAAATTAAACATTGAGTCACTGTCCGCCCTGAGCGAGTCCCCTACTCCACTGGTGAGTAAAATAGACAGGATCTCACTGGCCACATTTGATCCCAGCTAAATTAAGAATAAAAGACATTAATTTAATAAGTGGCACTTTTTACATTTTTACAGGTTTACTCACGGGGTGTTAAATGGGGTATTACAGTTGGACACACAACCACTATTGCAAAGATTGATGAAATTGGAAAAGATTTTAATGCAACTGTGCTTAATTGGAAGGGTAAATTGGAACACCATGCAAAGTTTAGAGGCAATCTGGAAATGATTCAGGAATGCACAGTAGTTCCTGAAAGTGAAACAGCTGAATTTGTCACTCCATATGATTGCCAAATCCATCCAACAGAAAATGCAGCGCCAGTAACAGCCATTGACTTAGATCAATTGAAAGCTATGGTAAAGCAGAAAATGGGTGACCGATTTGATGAATGTCTTTATCAGCAAGTGACAAGCTTTGTTAAAGCTTTCACCACTGGTTCCTCAATTTCTCAAACAAATTCAGCTTTGATGAATGGTGTCATTGAAAAATGGAAGCTCAGTAGCCCTGCCAAATACCAAATTATTGGTGACAATGTTCACATGTTTATCAAGATAAAGCATCAGTCCAGTAGCAAGCCCAATAAATGTATTCACTGGTTTCACATGAATGCTGTGAAAGACAGAATTGTGGCAGCAGATTTGTCAGATGACAAGCCAATTGGATGTTTCACACAACTTCGACCTGAAGAATTCCTCCCATCAGCAAAGGACAACCAAGATCTACTGCATGATTTTATTCCTCTGTTTGCACGTGTTATAATTGATGAGATACCTGCATTCAATACTGCATTCAAAGATGTTGTGGTTAGACATATCCCCCACAAGTATTCTGAAGTAATGACACAAAAATCAGAGCAGGTACATAACATAATGTAATTATAAATTACCATCAGGTCACAATAATAATTAAAATTCTGACTTATTATTAACCCAACCAGCTTGCATGTACAGACCTGCCAAGTTCGGAAGATAAGAATGCGTGACCAGGGCCGTTGTGAGGACTTTGCCTTTGGGGGGAGGTTAGATTTACCGCCTGAATTGTTTAAATTCACCTGATTTTGCGACGCCCGCGAGGCGCCATCGTGGTTGGCGCCGAGCAAAATTTGAATTCTCTAGACCGTCGGAAATAGCATTTTTAGAGTCTTTCCTACCCAAGATTTAAATGTTTTACTACTGCCTAACAATAAAGATAAGTAAAACAACTACTGATCAATATGACAGTGTTACTTACAGTTTAATGTGGCTAGGACAATTGAGAAAATTTTGGAAATTTGGAGTCTCCAGATTGTCAGAAAGCGTATTTGGTCATGTACCGCAGGCCACGATGCATCTGACGCTAATTCTGACGTTGTTAACTCTAATTCTATGTTTGCACAAAGCGTTGTCAATGAGTTATTGTACGAAAAGTGGGATAGCGTCATATAATGGTAAAAATGCGTAACTTTAAGGTCATTTTAGTTATGCGTGCGGCACAGCGGGAACAAAAGCAGAATGCGTAACTTTCACGCGAAATGCGGGAACCTTGGCAGGTCTGCATGTACCCTTACTTTAGTGTTTTGCTCCATTTTTTGGGCCAGACAATTTTACTCATCAGTACCCTTAAATCCACATACTGAGGAGTAATTAAAATACCAAAGTGGCCACATTTGAATGGGCACGTGCACATGCATTGTTGGCTATAAATGGTAATATGCAAATTGCTAATCTTACCAACCATACATTATAACCATTAACTGCCAGGCACCTGGCTACAACTAACTGGTGAAATCAATCGGCCTGCATTTAGGCAGGATAAAATAGCAAACCCTAATCCTAACCCTAACCCCAAACAAAATGGTGGTGTTCCGGTGGTGTTCCGGTAGTCAGTGTTTTACTACATGCCATCAGGGGGAGTGTTGTCACTCAGTGGGGTTAATATTTAACCCATTAAGCACAATCGCTCTCCCCTTGGTGAGTTAAATGGTCTAACGTATAGACATAGTGAAATTGTCCGGTGTTATAGACAGAATAGAATAATAAAGTAGGGCACATCAGGGCACAGTTGCAATTCAATGGGTAATAACCTGTGAGCTTGTAATCAACACTACTTAATAAGTATGCGGTTAGGGTTGGGGGTTAGGGTTGGGGTTAGGTGGTGTTCCGGTGTTCCGGTAGTCAGTGTTTTATTTTCTACTTAAAGGAGCCTTTGGAATTAATGTTCAAGAATGAAAATTTAAATGATGAAATGATTGACATCTTGGCGGATATTCATGAGCATTATTTACCTTGCGAGAAAGTTGTCTACAAAGATGGAAGTGAATCTTCACACATACTCACACAGCTATTTCTTGGTGGCGATCAACTCACGAAAGAACGTGCACGAAATCCTCAAAAGGGTCGTGCTGATGGTGATACTACATTTAAAAGACTGGAAGGAATCGTTCCGAAAGTGGAGGATTAGCATGCTGGGCGAATTTTATATCAGGTATGTAGTATAATTTTTGGCCAAACCGGTTGGGTTGCTCATTGAATTTTCATGAAACACAACACAACTGAAATTTATGCTCATTACACCAGGTGCTTAAGAAGCATGGGGGGGGGGGGTTCACCAATATTTTATTAGGATCGAGAGCTGAAATATAGACAAAAAAATAATTAAAAAAAGATTGCAGCATAAATTTTTCAATTCAAACTATAGATTGAAGTATATTTAAAATCAAAACTAGAAGTATTTCAAATCGCACATATATAAAATATCTGTGTTCAATTAGTTTTAGTCGTCCGATCCGCCCATTAGATAGCAATTGATAAGCACCCATATCCACCTACTTCAGCATTTTACTCTGTATAACACCAGGCAATTCTGTCAGTATAAGAATGCTACCAATTAATGGGTTAATTTAGATTACATGTTGATTGCATGACTACAGAATTGTTACAAGATTGTTCCAACAACTTGTTATTGTCCTGCAATGTGACAATCTTGTAGCATCTTGATAAAATTAATGACAACATTGCATGCATGTTTTCCTAATTCATGTTGATGGCCAGCATGCTATACGTATACATGTTGGCAAGCTGAGATTTTTACCTGTGTAGACCTAATGACATATAAACTATATCTCATCATGCTAATTTTAAGTCTAATTAAAGGCCCTGTCACACTATTGTGTATGAGAGAAACATATGAGAAGCGTATGCAAATTAATGAAATAATTTTCATACGCACAAAATCCTTTGAAATGCCAGCGTATGAGTACCGTACATCTGGCGTACCTCTAGCGTATTCAGTGTGTGCCTAGAGTATGCTTATCGTATAAAGCATACGTCCGATACGCACAAAATTTTTGAGCATGCTTAAAAAATATTTTCTTCCTCGCCGTATGCCAGCGTATGCCACCGTACGCGACCGTGCTTGAAACGTATACAACCTATGCCTAACGTACCCCTAAAGTATGTCAGCGTATACCGGCGTATGAGTGATATTTTCCATATGTTGGCATACGTTGGTTAGATACGCAATATTGTGACAGGGCCTTAAGTGGTATATACTTTCGGACTGGCAGGTATATTAATTGATCAGAAATGACTCGTTTACGTTTACTCCATAGGTTATGTATGATATATTATTTAAGACCACTTCATCTGGTGATGTTGGTACCATGTGCAGCAATATGAACGCTGTCAACCAAGTGAACTCAAAAACCAAAAATTTTTAACTACTGCAAGTCATTTGTGAAGCTTGAAAGTGCTGCATTCATAGCTGCTGCAACCATGCAGCATTTCAACATGATGGAGTTAACAGATAAAGCTGAAACATTTGTTCCACCAGCTGTTCTTTCAGATGACAAAGGGGGACAAAGGTTATGCACTAGTCAATTGAAACTACGGCCCCCCGACCCCCGCGGCATAGCGGGGAATTAACGCGGTCAGGGCCGTGGTTTAACGCTACAATTTCCCGGGGATACCGGGTATTTAACGAAAATATAATTTGCCGGGGAAAAATAGCGGGGATTTAACGCTCGGCTAAAGGACTGTAGAGGTCTGGGTACGAGTTCGCTTCCTCGTCTATTCAATATGGCGGATTCGTTGCAGTCACAGAAGGTGAGTTTTTAATTTGTTGATATTAACATCTGTTGATTTATCCATCGTTTAATATACTGTTATAAAACAAATATAAAACATTTTTTCCGTATTGATATATAGTTATATCAACACTCGTGGAAGTTGGAAAAACTCGAAATTCTGTGAAAACACTCCGCCCTTCGGGCGGGCGTCGTGTTTCCACACAATTTCTCGTTTTACCAATTTCCACTCGTGTTGATATAACTGTATATCAACACGGAAAATGTTTTATATTTGTTAAATAATAAACTATATAAAATAAACGTATAAACGTAAGCGCCTGCGGTACATTTATGGAGTATACCGCTTTATATTCAAAATGGCGGCAAAACAGTTATTTTTAATAAAAAGTTAAAAATATTTTATATCGCTTTGAATACAGAATCAATACAAACAGTTATCGCTGGTAGACACTGTTTATATATGTAAAGGTTAGTGACAAATTCAAACCCGGCGTGCTCCCTTGATGTGTATTGTCTATTGATAATTTTACTAAAGTTTGTATTAAACGTTCCCCGGTACCGGGGCATTTAACAAATACTTTTCCACCTGTAGCGGGGGAAATGTGCCGGGATTAACAAGGTGATTTGTTAAATTCCCCGCTATGCCGCGGGGGTCGGGGGGCCGTAGTTTCAATTGACTAGTGCATTATGGCTTCATTGGAGGGTCAAGGCAATTCTGTAGGAATATTTCATGAATGAGCAAGAGCAGTATTATGAGAGAGTTCAACAATTGGTAGCAGAAATGAACACAACTGCCTGTTCTGTATGTGGAAAGCAGTACAAGTATAAGAAAGCTAAAATCAATCATGAAAAGAAAGTCCACCTAATTGACCAAATTGATGAACAACCAGTTGCTTCAAATGATCCAAAAGAAAAAGTCGTTGATGATCGATTCAACTATGCATACACAAGGTTGAGTTTAGGTATGTTGCTTTTTAATTTTGATGATGCGGTAAAAGAAGGGGACGGTGAACGTGTTATGAGATGTTGGAAGTTTATGATGTTAATTTTTAAAGCATATCATCATACAAAGTATTCATTTGCTGCACTTCAACTGCAAATATCTACCAAAGCACTGCTGACACCACGCCAAGCCCATAGTTTAATTTGGAACAGAATGGTCAACACCAAAGGAGGGATGGGTAAGAACATTTCAATGGATCTTCGACTGGAACAACTAGACAAGTTGCTTAAAGATATGTTAAGGTGTCTTGGAGCAAATATAACACAGAAATCATCAGAAAGGTGTAGTAAGGCACTTAAATTAGTAGAAGACATTCTTTCCAGCATTGACTCGGAATTGAATATGAAGACACCGAAAGGCCACCATATTACTGCTAAGAGAGATAAGGACTTTAAAGTTCTTGTTGATGAGATGAGATATTTAATGGATAATTATATGGCATGTTAGTTGAATGTTCGATTAAAGATAAGAAACTTGCACAAAATATAATTGGTGGATAATTTTTAACAGACAATATTATGTCATAGAACAGTTACAATTAACTGCATTGAGATAATAGATATCATTGTCAAATGTTTTCTGTGCCATCAATAAAAAGCATATATGGTACTGTACATAGATGTTTTTGACTTATTGTCTACTGGGGTGCACATTTTCAAATAAACGACATTAAGCACCAGCGCTTGTGACTCGATGGGTTAACTAGACACATGGGCAGTAGGCCATGCAGTTAGCCCATTAAGCTCCAGCGCTCTCCCTTGATGAGTAAAATTGTCTGGCTATAGTCTCATCACAAGAATAAAATAATAAAACACATCAGGGCGCAACGCAATTCATATGTGTTAACTAGACACGTCAGCGCTTTCCCCTTGATAAGTACTGTAAAATCGTCTGGTGTTAGACAGAGTAAAATAATTAGTAGGGCACACTGCAACTCAATGGGTTAACACGGAATGATTATAGAAATGATCATCCAGCTCTTGTTGTAATTTTTGCACTTCCCCTTACTACAAAAACCTAGCTACTTATGGAAATTCACATTCAGACTCACTACTTTCTGATTCCTCATGATATTCAGCATAGATACCTCCAAAATCCAAATCATAAAATTCGTTACCACTAATAGACCATCAGCTATGGGCCGAAAATCGGCCAGTATGGCTCGATCAATGGGAACAACTAAAACCTATGTCAATTTGATCATTGTCTATTACGCTTTCCAAAAATGTATGATAGCAAGTGTAGATCGGTAGTTTTCCATCTGAAACTGGCACATGAAGAATAGCGACTATGATTCTCTCTGGCCGCCATTTTGTTTTTGTGTGCAAGCTTTAAAAGTGCACAATTTTGCACAAACAAGTTGCATTTCTTTTTTTATCAAAATCCGAGGTCGCTCAAAGATGATAGTTACTGTTACTACTGCAATAATGTTCACATTGCTTTGAAAATGACATCACATTCGGTTTATATGTCGGTTCGAACCGATAAACGGATATGAACATGGTGTTTTCTTTTGTAAAAGTAGAATAAAATTATTTCAGAGCTACTCTGTGTGTTTTTTTACTAAATAAACACATATATTTTCAATATTATGCCTTGACAACCTCTAGACCATGCTAAAATTTAACAAAAACAGCTATTTCTTGTACTCTGTTCCAGTCTCCCAATTATCAGAAAAACTCAAGATGGCAGCGATATTTACAGTTTTTGATGTAAAACAACCAAATAATTGTCCAAATATAAAGGAAAATGACTGATGTTTGTATAATTTGTGGGTGTAGTGGAACAAACTTAACCCAATGTAAAGATTTAAGAGCGAGTCTCTACAAAAATCAAACATACCGCGGCAAGGCTCAAAATTTTAAATTCGCTCTACTTTTGAACTTAAGTTAACTATGACAAAGTATGAAACGTCATATGGTTAGTTTTTAAAAATACTCTTTTGTTTATAAAAAAAAGGCAAAAAAAATTTCAGCTGTGAGGACCAATTTTCGCAATCGAAAAATGGCCGAAATTGCATATGTTTACTTAATCCTGGTATCCAAACCCTAAATCCAAATAGCCTTATTATACTTTCTGCTAAAGATACATCACTCCCTCGTTTATTAAAAGTGGTTTTATGATAATTGAACAACTGAACACATTTGTGCACAATAAAGAGCGACGGGTACTGATCTTTATTGTTTGTCATTGCATGTAAAAAGTGACAGATTTCTCCATTTGCCATCCTTTCAAATCTTATGAGATTTTGCACAAGCACTGTTGGAAAACTGCTCTTTTCAGAAATGTATAATTTATTTTGGGCAAATAAATTCACCTGCTATGAGAAAGAGTTAACTTTGGTTCATTAAATATGCAAAAATCACTGTTTGGCAATTGACCATTTGCGTAATAGACAAAATTTTGAACTCAACAAGTCTAGACAAAAATTTCATCACAGCTTGAAAGAGCATCACAAAATTAGTAATATTCCAAAGTTTCGTTGCAAAATGTGGATAATATAGCCTTGCAAAATTTGTAATTTTCAGTTATTTTAGATTACTCAAAGCGTATCGGGCTGTCAATTTCCCGTTTGTAATCTAAAATGACTGAAAATTGCAAATTTCGCAGGGCTATATTATCCGCATTTTACAACATTTCGCAACGAAAATTTGGAATATTACTAATTTTGTGATGCTCTTTCAAGCTGTGATGAAATTTTTGTTTAGATCAAAATTTAGTCTATTACGCGAATGGTCCGATTGCATGACTAAAAACCCCTTGAAATAAACTCGCTTAAAACATCATTGTTCTTTGCCTTTAGTTTAGAGAATTTGAAGAAACATAAATATACATACCTTGAATGAAAAAATTTTCTTTGAGCTGTTCCACTTTTGGAGTTTATACCAGGAATTTAATATTGTCGACCATTCGGTTGTTTACATCTCCACCTTATACATCGACTCAAAGTTCAATCTATCAGAAATCAGCTAAGGGGCGGACCATTAGAAATTCCGGGAGGGGGGGTATAAAATTTTTGCGGCACAAATTTTTTTTTCAGTCTCGTGTCTCTGCAGGAATTTTTTTAATGCATTTAACCTCTGCACGAATTTTTTTTCAAGACTACTTATACTTTGCTGTTTGCTTGCACGAATTTTTTTCCTCTGACGTAATGGCTGCACTAATTTTTTTTCCAGGCATTTTCCTTTGCACAAATTTTTTTTGGGAATTTTCACCCCCCCTCCCGGGATTTCTAATGGTCCGCCCCTAACAATTCACACAACTTCCATTCGTGTTCCATTTACAATTATTAATATTCTTAGAAACAAAGAGTCAAAATTAATGTTGCAGAAATTCTATTTTATTTTTATACTGACATATCGAAAAAGCTAAATGTTTACATTATAGGTGGCGGGCTTCCTGTCGATTTGGCGGAAGTAATGCCACTGTGATGCATTACTTGTATTTTTACTATTGTTTTTATGTGGATTATTGTCGAAAAAATGCGATCCGCACACCGCTATGCTATTGTTATCATGATTAATTATATCCGTCACGAGCACCCCATAACAGTTAAACTTCCATGAAAAGTCAGCATATTGGTATTTGAACTGACGACTGATCAGAGTGGTTTCGAAGGAAATGGCACTCTCTAGACGCTGCTATTTTGGTCCAATAGTGGGCATGGATTGGCACAGATTATTCATTTGATCGCAGAGATATCAATACTGCAGTAGCATTGTAGGCCGTCGTCTGCTATCTAAAAATGTGCCTAGAAAAAATTTTCGTTGCACATATCGCAAGACTAACCAGTTCTTTCATAAAGTCATGGAAGAGCATGCCAAATTTAATAATAAAAAAAAAACCAATCATAACTGTGCACAAGACTGAGAAATCGATGTTATTCCGTCGATAACGTCATCTATAGTAATGAAAAATAAAAATTTTCGAATTTTGAAAATTTTATAATGCCATCATATAGTTACACACAAGTGAACAAAAAAACTATATTATACCAACCACCTTCAGTCACTCGTTACTGAGATATTGCTTACCAAAATTTAAAAAAATGCTGAGTCAGCATTTTACTGCATCTTATCTACCATGTGTCACTTTGGGCTACGTTTTGTGCAATGTAGGAATTTTTAGTGGCCAGAAATCTGTGAAATGTGAGTGAAGGACTAAACATGCAAATTTTCTTAGAAAAGTCAACGTATCCTATCCATTTTAATATAAAAGTTAATAATGTAATGCATCTACACAAATTCATGACACCGAATCAGAATTGACAGGAAATAGTAATCAAGGCCAGAAATCACAGACATGATTTATTCTACTTCGCAATTTGCATATCACGTTATCTGAAATATGGCTTCTGCAGTAAACAATAAATTATATTACGCGATGCTGTAAATCCAAAAATCAGAGATGATTGACTTGATTTTAGTTAGTGACCATTCTGTATTTTCCGTATTTGTACAGAGGTTAGTATGTACGGAATTTTTCTATTTAACATATAATAGTACCGTGGCTACTAGAAACAAACGAAAATGCAGAATAGGCAGTAACTTACACCAGGCAAACACCACACAATATATTTCAACAGACCTTGTTCTGCAACCAGCAATCGAGGTAAATTGCAAACGACTACCAATATTCTTTGATTTTGCAATTTAAAGCATCCCGTAATATAATTTACTGTTTACTATCGAAGCCATATTTCAACGGGTTATGTATTAATGATATGTAAAATTAGTAAGGAAATAGAATAATCATTTCCATGATTTCTGGCTATGTACGGGATGTCTCTCAGTACGTTTAATGTTCATCATCAAAGTCATTTTCATCAATATCGTCAGCATCTGTATCACTTTCATCACTTTCTTGTGTTGCGTTTGAACAATGATTGCATCGGCAAATGCTTGTGCATTGCAAGTTGGCCTTGCAACATGAACATCTATTTGATGTGCATCCCGTTTTACATCCACATTGAACATTTTCAAGGATCCCATCTGGGGTAGGTGGTAAATCCATCCAATCTATGGATACATTCCCGTCGTTGTCAACAAGCCAGCCATGTTCGGCTATGTTAGGGCAATCGGTAATGGGAGTTAAAGCTCTTCTCCAAATTGCAGCCTGGTACACAACTCTGTTTAGGTGTTTTCTTAAGACATCTTTGGTGCATGGCATATCCCTTTCACAATACTTTCCAAGTCGAAAAATGTTATAACGTGCTACATTTACATCGTCCACTTGTTTCTGTTGATACAATAGGCAGATAAACTTCTCGATCTCTTTCTCCAAAACAGGATTTGAGATGAAAGTGGATCCAATAGTCTGAAAAGCAGGCAAGAATTCAAGATTCTTGTCCAAAACCTTCAAAATGTTAACTTTTCCCTTGTAATAAAATGAACTCGTGCTGTCACAGCCTAAAAACGGACAAGAGAAACATCGAAGTGGGGAATATTAAATAAGATATGGATCAGAAATTGGGCTGTAACTGCAGTTTATTTCCCATGTAGAAAATTTAAATGGTAGCGAGTTAACTGGACTGAAAAATTCAGTTACCTGTAAACGCATGAAATCCAATTAATCCATCGCAAAACGAAGCACCTAACTGGCGATGACACTGATCAAGATCAAGCACTCTTCGGTGGTTGCCAGACCCAGTGTCGAAATACAGCATGGCATCAATCGCGTCCTTGTGGCCTAACATCAAAACAAATACGTCCGTATCGGGACTTCGCACGGTTATTACGTGATGTTCAGTCGAGGCGTGTTTTGCATGAAGAATGAGACGAGTATCCGCTTCTTCATGGTCGGAGTATAATTCTGGGACATCTCCAACTCGTACCACATTTCTCACATCAACATAAAACCGATGACACATCTGTTGACGGCTCGAAATTTCATACTTTCGGTTCAGTGCATGCTATGAAGACAGAAATACCACCATTCGATTCAGAAATAAAATATCAACTAGTTCCAAACGATAGTTATAGTCATTATTAGTATTGTAACGATTTATGGGCCTTTGAAAGTCAAAACGATCATATTGTATCAAATTACGCAATTGTCTGAACAAAAATTACAGATTATTATAGACTAGCCATACCTTTCGCCGAAAATAACTTCGGCCCCATCGAACATATCGTCTTTGTAATAGTCTTGTTCGAATCCCCATTAAATAGTGTTTTTGGAGTGTTATTTGCAACCCTGAATCTACAAATCTGTATCTTTTATCAATATATTTCCATTTCTTGTCCGACTGTGAGCTCGAAGTGAATTAATCCCAACCGGAAATACGACTGAAACCCGTCAAAACAATGCGGCGTTTGTATCGTAAGACCCTGGAAAGGCCAGAAATGGATTCGCAAGGTCAAATTGCACCTACACGTGTGAGTTTGACGTCATCCCGGCCAAAGGAGCTTCTTATTGGCCAATTATTGCGCAATGTACGCAAGTGCGAGTAAAACCCGATATCTTGAAAAATTCAAAATAAATATTTCTAGTCGGCGTATACATACGAAACTTTCTACACGAAAGCGCTTGAATACAGAGAGTATTTTACACATATAGCCGTTTAGCAAATGACGAAAAGTTCAAGGGGTATTCAAGATCTTGTGGATATGAAATCTAGAATCTTTGGCCAAGCGGTGAGTAAATATATGATTGTTTCGCTTTGTGTAATGTTTTGACGGCACTTGACCCCCCGTTCGAAAGGTTATTTTATGAGGATTTCAATGGTGGCATTTATTTAAAAGGGGGGTAAATACTCGCCGAGATATTTATATTAGAAAAATTGAATCGAAATGTAATGCGAAACCGGCCTGTCAGGAAAGAGTTAAACTGTACGACATAAGATTTTTCATATCAACTTCTCTAGATTCACCGATTGCCAACAAACAAGAGATAAACTTTGCATCGTTTCTTAGTTCAACGATCTCACCTTTCTTCGTTTTTACTTGCGATTTGACATTTCGTTTTGTAAAGGTCTTTAGATTTGTTTTCGGGATTGTTGTAAATATATCTGGCTTTTCAGCTTTGACTTTGTCGTCCACAAATTCTTTGAATTTTCTTTCACCAATTTCTTTTGCGGCTAGCATATCAGTCACCACGCAAGGATTTGCCACCTCCCCACTGGCGATGTTTATAAGATCTTTCAGATCAGGATCAAACGGGTTTGTCATTGCTGAGATTGTTTCAATTACAGCGGATATCTCAGAGTTATGGTATATCATCTGGGACACATCAAGGTCTTTACGCGCTCTGTAATGTAATGTAATGTATTGTCATGTAATTGATCATGAAATAATATATGACACCGTACAAGCACTTGCATGTATTTAAATCGTAATAGTTTCTTTCCAAATTCCAGCAATAAATTTATTGAAATTAGAAACGCTCTACTTACAGTACCTTTCGTTCTTAGAAAGCCCAGCAAGAGAATAGCACTGCCTCTTTCCGACTGTGCAAGAATCCATCGCTGAACGGCAGATCTATTAAGAGTAAATCCCGTTATGCCACCTTTCGTCTTTGAGTCCCGGTTGAAGGTCTGCTCCATAACTTGATCGCACGCTGAGGATGAAAAGCCATATTTTTGTTGTCGTTGACATGTCCAGTTTGCTTCGATTCCATGTAGTGCATCTAGGAGTTCAAAGGAATGAAGTTTACAACCTACTAAAAGCACCAATTATAAACATCTGGCATATACATACATGCACAAACCTATGATCCACTGTAATCTAAATACTGAATATAATTTTGTGTACCTGGATGAGTCGTATTAATGCAAATCATCTCAAGCCAATATATCGATCCGTATCTGGCGTAGTTGACACGGTCTGCCGCGAAAAACCAAGGGAGCATCGATCTCACAGCTGATAAGTGCAATTCCCAGTTGTTGTCACGGGTTGCTCGAATGAACAAAAGAAGAGTCTGTACCATTTGCATGTATACCATCCACATTTCCATTGTTTTGTTTGTAGCTGATTTCTCGTTTACGTAAGTATTGAAGCCATTCTGGATGGACTGAAATTCTTCAGAGAGTGCGTAATCTGTAAATTGTTCGTCTGGAAATGTTTTGGCCATGTTCTCTGCAAAATAACATATTTTTTTTCAATTCCAGAAATTCAATGAAAAACAGAATGTAGAAAATTTTTCCACTAAACTAAAGGGCATCAAAATTTTAATAGTATCGATGAAAATAATTAAATCGTAAATTCTGTAATTAACAAACGTTTGATCATTGACATCTTAAAAATCAAAGCAAGTGAGAAATTCTTACCAATAAAAAGTGATATTTGCTCCTGCGATTCTGCAGGCAGTGACTGCATGTACATATCAAATAAGAGGCGTGTCAATGCTTCAAACATCACTTTGTGTGTGCGGATGGCACGGTTATAATGTTTTCCATTTATGACTCCATTGATGGATCCAGCTGCTACAAGCTCAGACTCCACAAGCAAATCCTAAAAACATAATGAGACAGAAAATTAAAATATAAAACTGTAGGAACTGTATAACACTGTACGGTACATCTTGTTATTTACTCAATCTCAGCTGTAACATTTTGGCTACTTAAATAGTACAATTAGTCGTACATGTATATACCTAGTTAACTCACCCTCAATCCTGCATCCTTGAACAGCTTTCCAATTGCTCCACAAAATGACATGGCCATATGGAATTCACCAAGTCGAACAATAAACCTACTTAGATATTCTTCTTCTTTCCATTGCACTTCTTGAATTTTGGCGTAAATAGATTCATCAAACACCAGGCAGACATAGTGAATACATAACTTGTTTGCAATTTCTGTGCTCTTTTTCATTATAGCGTTGAGTGTTGACATTTCGGTCGGAGGTGCATCTATTATCGGCAACTATCCTATCTTTGACAAAATTGGGATTTCTGTGGACTGAAGCAATATGTTAAAACCTGTCCAGTTTGGAAAAAGGCACTCATTTTGAAGATTTCTGCAAAGAACAAATGAAAAATCAAGTGCATTCGCTGCTTTCTGTGTTGGCACATAAACATACTCATCAACTGAAACTTCTTGAAGAGCATCCTTAAGGTTTACTGTAACTCGCTTTCCCAGCGCATACCCAGCTAACACATTAACGTTTTAACAACGTCGTAACAACGTTGGACTTACGTTGTCAAAACGTTGTGATAAAACGTTGTCAAAACGTAAATTTGTAGACAGCAGAAAACGTTGTCACAACGTTGTGGTTAAGTTAAATGCAACATTTTCGCTACAACGTTCTGACATGACGTTGTCACAATGTTGTGAAATGACGTTGGGAAAATGTTGTGAAAACATCGTGTTGTAACGTTGTCACAACGTCATTTTTACGTGACAGCAAAAAAATATTGTCGCGTTGTGTACGGCAAGATATTAATAGCATGATAACAATTGTCGGAAGGGTCTTTTCAATCCTTTAATTTGTTACTGATTTATTTATGCAAGAAAAAGCTTTTCTGCAATTTACTATCGTATATGGCTGTCATATGTAGACCTAAGCCTGTTAGAGTAAATCATTGGACACATATACTGTATGTCGGTATGTATAATATGCGCTTTTTACTGATCTAATATATCTAGCTGTGACTCGAAATGGAAAGTTTATCCAAAAGATACAAGAAACATGGAGCGTACTGACTAAAACGACACATACAATGCATTTTAAATAAAATCCTTTAATTTATTCTGACATATGCTACATTTATACAAGTCTAAAAACAAAACATAATTCCTATTAAATATTATCTCTCTCTTTCTCTTGAGACTCGTCCACGACCTATATGAACAAAAACGTATTAAACAATATTTAGATGTATACGATTTGGCATATATTCGGGAGGTGGGTAGTGCCAAAACATCGCGTCTTTGCGATTATTCTTGCACCATTCACCTCCACTTCGGTGAATAATTGTTAAATATATACACGCATGCGTGCACACACGCACACACACGCACACGATATATCACAGAACGTATATCATGACTTAGTAATGTAGGTTACACTGTAAACAAAATGCTAAATTTACCCGATATCTTGAACCACCAGGCTTGTTTGGAGCATGCTTCAGGGTCTCTGAGATGTGCTCTTCAACACTGAGTTCGGTGGCTTTCTGGTGGCTCCTCATACAGGCCTCTGAAAAAATACCAATATTATTAGTAAGGCGATTGCACTAGCTATTAGTTAACTGGTTTTCTTCTTCACAATACAACATCTTCAGAGCATTTAAATGAATTTTAAATAATTTTAATTCATAAAAATAATTAAAAATAAAAGAGAAAAGTCATTGTTATACATTAAAACTTCATTCTATCTTTTATTGGTTGATATTCGCCAGTTATAATACAAATATTTATAAAGAACTGGGCAGAGGACTAGAAATATTATTATAATATTGGGCTGGTTAATCCATATCATGCTTTACATATATTCCAATCTTCGTTTAATGCTAACTATATATACCAAATGAATGATGAGTATTACTTACTTATAATTATATTGCACAACTTCAAACTTTTAAAAGCTTGTTTTCCTTTCCGGCCTTTAAAACTAAATAAGGACCACAGCTTGTTTGTCCCAAGCTTTGCCATAATTCGGCGAACAGTGTCCCCACAGGTGTGTCCACATTGTGCCGCGAGATAATTCACCTTTAAAGAAAAAGAGATAAGTTAATTTAATTTTTACAATAGAAACTAAACTACTGTTGATATACATTAAGAATCCAATATTCCCTATCAGAGAAATCTAAACAAAACTAACTGTACTACAGTACACAATGAATGCGTAATGTGTGCATTCAGAATAATTCAATAATTTGGTCTCGTCATCCTGAAAAAAAATATGAAAATCTTGAGTGCACAGCAGGAAAAAAGGGTTATAATCAAAATTACCAATGTTTTAGTGATGCATAATTATAGTATGTATGTTCTTCACTTTCATTTCCGCAAATAGAAGGATTGTATTATTATTTAGTGATAAGAATCTTGGAATACATACCCAGATTATTCTGAAGCAAAGTATCACATGACTGACTGTCCAGAATTCGCAATGAATTTCCTACCAGTTCTACACTTTCAAACCCGTCCACCCTAGAGGTAGACCTGGGACCTGAAACAGACTGTATGTCTGGGTACAAACGATCTAAAAAATAAGAAAAATTAAAATAAAACAATGGTTGTTCCTATAACTCAGATTCTTGGCATAGAAATGATATCAAAGTGTGCATTCCACATGATACGCTTGTAAGTAAACACTCTTGCTAGCATCGTGTAATTTTACTTGAGACCCAACGCCCCTTGAGAGTTCATACCTCTCTCTTTAACAAGCAAGGGCACCATGTGTCGTGCCATTCTTACCGTCGTGTTACATTATACATGCCCTAAAACCTCTGTGTAACTGTGCGGTAATTGACAATATTTACCCTTTTTCAAATGATACATACTGTTACAAGGTATTCTTGGCAGATCATTTGAAGTCTTTCCCCGATAAACTGGGGGGCTTGGTAATGTCAAACTGGAGTCTGTGTTGGGCTGTAAAGTTTTCGTTAGTCTTGGTCTTTTACTGTGGTTTACACTTCCTGCAGCATGACATATAAAATAGAGGGAACTTAAGAAATTATTTGCATTAATGTCTATATGTTGAGATTAGTGCGGTCATTTCGATAAAGTGTTCGCAATTCGTCAGATTTATACTACAAATATGAAATGCTGTACATATGGTATTTTACTAATGGTTTTCTAATACACCCTTCCGGAAAGTGCGTCACCTTGGCTATAGGACATCGTTCTCGTGATTGAGATGTCGGGCTTTGACTAATGTCGCATACACGAAAACGAGGCTCTATAGCCAATGTGGCATACTTTCCGGAAGGGTGTATTACAGTATATGTATCTTTTACTTGTGGCATAAAATTTGACCAATTGCTTGCACAGGTACAGAATATAAGCTCCACTTCAAATTAAAATCCTGACTAATCATCTGAATTCTTAAACATAAAAGATCATATTTGATGTAATCTATACAGACCTGATGACTTTGCTTTAGATTGCAGAGTTTTCTTTTGGCTCAAGTTTCTAAGAGGGTCAATATTTTCTTCTTCACCTAAATAATACAGCGAGAAAGCAAAGAGTTGTTAAGCTTAAGGAAGCTATCATGCACTTAGGATTTAACTTTGACTAATGCGCACAGTGTTATTTGAACAAGCCCATTTGACCGACTTGCACACATCAAATCAAACTATTTACTCCAAGCACTCCCTTTCTCCGTACCCACGCAGTATACTTAAATTGCTATTTGCCAACTTGAACTTAGAAGAATGATTTCTTAATGAGTTAAATACTTGTAAGAAAGCACTGAGGAACTATTTTATCAGTGAAAATTACCTTCAGTTTCTGCATAATCAATACTTTTCCTCGACCTTTTATTTGTACTCTCAGAGTCTGAGTCTGACGTATCCACATTTGATGTCTCCTCAGCTAGCTTTGCTTGCCTTTGGGCCTTGTCGTATTTATCTGCAAATAGATGATATAAATTTTCTTAACATATGTAATGTAACCAGATTTTGACAGATCAAAAACAATTTTTGATCACTAGAGGGCTTCGAATTCCCATGAAACAGTTTAGATAGTTAGAGTAGAACCCCACCAACTTGAACTCGCTTGGGAGTTCGAGTTGGTGGGGTTCTACTGTATTGGATATTATAACTGTACCTGTATATGATAAAACGCGTATTTTGTAAGCAGACCAACGCTGCTTATCTGGCAACTCCATTTTCTTAACACGCCCAGCAACATTAGTTCGGGGATAGTAACAATACATTGCCTAGGGAAAATATCAATAGAATCTATTATAAAGACTGTATCTTATCATAACAAATATCAATTAACTGTGATTGGTTAATTTTAGTGCAGTTAATCCCAAATATCTGTGCCAAACAAATAATTGACAATATATAATTATAACAGTCAAGCAATATTTTCTTGGATGTTACTAATAAGTAATTCTGTAATTGCATGGTTTCTCGTGCAATTTGGATAAAACAATTTATCCAAATTGTACAAGAGACCATGCTTGTAACTATACTAATATGCATTATAAAATTCACTATTCTTACACAACTTACACAAGTTAGGGTTTTCCAGCAACTAACAAACTCCATCAGTTACTTTGCAAATCATTGTTGCCTATGTTTCTTATATAACTCACAACATATGAAGGTGACATGATTTATTCATGCTTCTTCACAGTTCACAATTGCTTTTCCTACTATTTCTTTCAAAATTAATCCCTGCATGTTATCTTGATTATGATTCAATAAATTTAGCAAAACAAAACTTACCCCTTCCCGCATTTCAATCCAAGACCCAGGAACAATATCAACAGATTTCTCGTCAACAAATTCAACAACAGCGAAATTACTCATCTAGACAATCATAACCAGCAAACCATGAAGTTAAATACCATTAACATAACATTCTTTTCTTGGTATCACAAGAGATTGTTTATCTCGTGCTTCAATATAATGAACATTAGTCCACTGCATTCTTAGCAAACTGCTGCAATTCTGTCATATGTAGCAACCAGTTTTAAGTTAATTAGTCAGCGTTTGTCATTGCAGTTCCATTTGACACATACTGCATATTGGACATTTTCGGTCAATGCAAACTTTCAAATTATTACTGGATACTTTGTCTTAGAAATAGTGAAATCCTTAGTTTGATTGCACAGAATTTACAACTGATGTAAAATGGCCATAAAGACCAAAGTGTTATGTTCAAGTTCAACTGCAATGGCCTGCTTTTTTAAAGTGCTAGCAGGCAGCAATTTGATGCAGGAATTTTGTTCTTTAACTTTATGTACTCCAATTAAACGCGAGTCACAAGGTTTGAGAAACATTGGTTCAGATTGATCGTAGACCCTGCAAGAAAACATTCTTTCCTCGCACTGAAACTCGTGTGTTTCATTAACAATAACACAACAAGAATTCTGAAGAATGTATCCATTATTTGGTGGCTTTACACTAATAGCACAAGAACTGGTGTTTTGACAGATAATGAATAAACAACTAATGTCATTAGTAGTAGGACTAAGAAGTTCATTATGATCATCTACAGCAAAGTCAATCTCATCTTGTCTTTCCACTCTTTGAAATTTAGCAGGTGAAGATTGTTCACAAATATCAACAGGTAGCCGTTTTGTATTGTTGTTGTATTTTGTGAGTAAACGACAAGCAGAAATCCATTTTCTTTTATATTCTTTTCGATATGAATTTGTTGCCATCTTTGTTTCTGAAAGTTAGAAACAAAACAACTGGAAATTCCTAGAGTTGTTTAACACTGCTATTGACTTTGCTTTAGTTGCACATTCAAGCATTTAGAAATAATGGCTCAGACTGTTTCAAAGCATACTTCCAATTTTATTTAAAGCTTTCAAATACTAAGGAGTACGTATCACTCTATAATAATAAAAAGCTACAGTGATACTGGGCATATGTATGTACAGTGTGTATGTGTATGTGTACATGTATTGTGGACTCCGTGCAGTAGCTAAACAGTTTCGTAAATCCACAGTTTGGAAGTGGAGGACACATGGAGAAGAATTCAATGCATACAATGCATGTATCATGGTCATATATAGAAATTTCATAACACATATATACATGTATTTTATTAGCAAATAACCCTGGTATGGCATGTGCTAGAGCATGTTGGATGGCAGGAAACATTTTATCAATGACAGCGCTGCAAACAGTGAATATATTCTACATTTCTGAATGCTTTTTGCTACTTTTTGTGTCTCAAAGATTCAACCTAGAGCTGCTCTCAATTAAGCAGTTTTATTCAGCTATAATTAACACACATGTTGCCCACTTAGCCCACAAGCCCCACATGTGTCAGCTTTTGTATTGGGCCAAAATGTGCTAGTTAAAATAAATCCCTTGTCTGAATTGTGATAACATTATTATGATATATAAAAATTATGTGATAAACTTTGTCACATTATTGAAACCAGTGTTAGTCCAATTTATCCACTCTATAGTCTAATTTACTGTACCACTCTATTATATAATAAAAACTTCTAAAACACATATATTTGAAGGGGTAAACCACTATAGGATGTGTGGTGATTTATTCAATACGATTAATTAACATTGATAGTTAGTGGACAACAATTAATCAAAGGAGAATATGAACTGATGGGAGCAGCTCTAATCAACCTATTTTGCCCACGCAACTCAAACAGTTGTGCCCATGCTCAACATTGATTAGTCAATTGGAAAAAACAACCACTCTGTACTGCGCTTTGTTTTGATCGGTTATTGTTATATTGACCAATAACCAAAACAGCATATTAAGTATAAACAGAGAGAAACACCAAACTCTGAAACTGCCCATTGCTTTGGTTAGTAGGGGCAAACACTGTGCTTTGATCAGCTACTGTCATATTGAGAGAAAATGAAAATAGTTCGTAATAGTATTGGGAGTCGTTTAACTATTGACAAAAACCACTGAAAAGTTATTTTGTATTATAATTTACTTAAACTAATATTCATTTTCTCACTATTGATTGGCTAATTTTCCAATCCTACAACTAACTGGTGAAAATAATACGTCAGCATGCAAATAACAGGAGCAAATAGTTGACTGAGCATGCACACTTTTGAAATTAATTCTCAATTACAAAATATAGATTTGCGCATGTGCATTTAAAACTCAAATAAACACAAAAATAAACATGGCTCGGTTTGCTAAGCTTTCGGAAGACAATTTGCATCTTTGCTAGATGGAAAAGATGCAGAAAACACCAAAAAAACAACCTAAGGTGCTTGAATGGAAAACAATTGGATGAAGCCAAGTTAGTGGCCTCAGAAGTTAATCTTTTGGCTGTACTGGGCAAGTTTTACGTTGAAGCCAGGAAAGAATTTTGCAAATAATAAAGCAAATGATAAAACAATTATTGAACTCCGTTATAGCAAAATATTGTGATTATTAGATTATACTATTGTTGTTGATATATTTTATAATGATCACAACTATAATTAGATTGTTGCCGTTGTGTGAAATTTAAATTTCTTCTGCGACATTTTGATTGGATACTAAATATAAACTTTGCTGTGGGTGGAAAAAAATAAAGACTGCAAAAATTAGCTTTGAGGATTATCTATGCCAAACCGAAACTAACATCTTCTGGGCCACTATTTATAACTGCTGGAGTACTACCTATACAGCAAAGAATCATGCTACGAACGGCGATAATGGTATACAAATCTTTGAATAATTTGGGTAATTACTGAGTTTCAAACATTTTTCTGATTATAATTGGTTGAATTGGTTTTCAAGAAAATCTTTTTTTTCCTGTTTATCGATTACCCGCCCGGCATGATATTATCAATGTATGTATGGTAAGTATCAAATGCATACTTGGCCAACCGATACTAATTGGTTAATGACAAAATCAACTGATATTGGTGCTCACTGCTGTTGATAGCCTGACAAGGTGACTGGTCAGCATGTTTCGCCGGTTCCCAGCTCACATATTGTTTTTATATTTTTTCGAGGTTGTATTCAAATTCATTGTTGGGCTCATACAGTATGAAATCTATAACTGGGCTGGGAATCACATGTTACAATAATGTGTGCTTTATATATATACGAGATACATGACACATGTATCATTGAGTATTGACAACACTGGAAGATAAAACCTGTATCTTCAACTAGAGGTTGTGTATAATAAATGTCTTGTCTATTATATTAGAATAAATGAAAATGTGATCATATTATATTAGAATAAATGAAATGTGATCATATCTTTGCATGTATTAATTAATAAAGATATCATTTAATATATAGTTGACTTCACATGTTTCTAAATACTGTTGGGTTTTTCATCGAACAAATACTGTTGAACTGGCTTATTAACTAACACTAGCTAACACAACGAAACACAAAACATATTGTAGCCCGAATGTGAGACGCCAAAAGTGGCAAAAACATTCCGAAATGTAGATTGTAGAATCATACACATGCACTGCAGCGCGTTGCCTATGGTCGAAAAGCGTCCAGTTGCTATAAAATACATATTTATCCCACAGAGATGCAACCCCCAGAGGCTCTTATAAATGCCTGCTAATGAGGACATCCTCAATAAAACACTATGACAAATTCGTATAGAGACAATCATAAATACCGACGGGAGAGTCGGGAATACACTTGATGACAAAGATCAATAATAAACATAATTTAGCCGCAATTAACGAAAACATGACAATACAAAGACAATAATATGATAATAAAGTAATAGTTGACTTACTTTCAAGTGTGGATTGATAATTCCAACAACAGGATTAATACGGATTCAATATTATAGAACAGCTCTAGACCAGAATACCAGATTGGACAATCGGAGAGAAACAGAGAACAGGAAGCCCTTTCATGTTGTCACGTTGCGTCATACGCGCGATGAAAGGGGGGGGGGAGATCGAAATTGCAGGGGCATGTGGGCAGTGAACTCAATATAATTAACTGGAACAATAACATGCGAAGGGAAATAATAAAAGTGCCATCACAATAAAATAGCATGATTGTTTAATTTCACAACAGTTCAGTTTGAAATAGATAAACAAACTCTAAATAAAGATACTATTCAGTTAGAATTATCCGATAACTTATACTACCACATATTTTTATGACTCTTACAAACTCTGGCTTTTAATTAATTAACCTTTCACGATAGACACAATATAACAACAATACAAGCCAATCAAAACAAGCCAATCTATAGATCTTTTCGCTCCTCCCCACAAAATTATCAATGCGTTTTTAGTACAATTCACGCTTAACGTGCATATGAAAATTAAGCCGTTTTATTAAAATATTTTCTCAATGGCATATTGTCAGAATCAGAACATTGGGTTGTCAGGTATTTAGCTAAAGGCCGGCACACACTAGACACTAGAGCTATATATGTGCTTAGCAAAATGTCACACGTGCCCAATGGCATAAGGAGATAGCTCTCGTGTGCGGGCGATTAAGTGGCACGAATGACAAAAGTCGTTTGTAAATCGCCCGCACACGAGAGCTATCTCCTTACGCCATTGGGCACGTGTGACATTTTGCTAAGCACATATATATAGCTCTAGTGTGCACCGGGCTTAAGAGTTCAATTATCAATTTGCCAAGCTTAAATTGCCGTGTTTTAGAAACTTCCGACGTTATAGAAATTGTATAATCACGCAATGTTGTTTGTCAGTGTTGTAAACGATACACTGCAAATTGTTGACACAAAAACAACGTTAAATAATTGTGTAGTTATTTGAAAATGACGTAGCAAAACACAGAATGTTGCTTCGCCGTTAAAAAATGACGTGGAATATACCAACATTCCCACAACGTCTTGGCAACGTTGTGTAATGGTGAAAAAATGATGTTGTATACCAACATTCCCACAACGTCTTGGCAACGTTGTGTAATGGTGAAAAAATGACGTTGTATACGAACGTTCTCACTACGTTGTTACAACGTCGTGTTCAGGCGTTAAAAATGACGTTGTATACAAACGTCTACAAAACGTTCTCACAACGTTTGCAAATAATACTCTGCGATGTGAATGTAGTATAGACGTTGTCACAAGGTTAGGTCCGACCTGACCAAAATACAACCTTTAAATAACGTTGCGACAACGTTATGTGTTAGCTGGGCAGGCATGTTTTCATTGTCAGATACATTTTTTATAGTGCATGTACTTGATTCAATTTTTTTTTTGTGGGCCAAAGCTAGGATCTGATCGAGGCAGTATAACATATAGCCATATTGACGAATCAACATGTTGTCCCCTTAATTTATATCCTCCACCTGGGTATCCCAGTGGCCATTGTCCAATGGCAAGTGAATTTTTATATCCAAGGCAACTAATTTTCCTGTCCTACCTGCCCCGAGAGTGAGAGCTGGCAAGTGGTAAAAATAGTGAAGTTACACCACTGTTATATATATGAATAAATATTACAAACGTATGAAAATAGCAGTTGATATATGTCAATAAATTCTCTCAAATCATGTTTAGCTGAGGCATGCCTATGTAGGCATATGAGGATTGAGTAGATGCCAATAGACAATTCCCATTATAGACTAATTTTCAAACTAGGCAAGGAGATGCAAATAAATCACCACAGCTAGCAAGAGCATACTAAAATTGGTTAAAGTACACGATTTGGTTGCAAAATGTTGTAAAATGTGGAAAATATAGCCTTGCAAAGTTTGCAAATTTTGTATACTTTTGTATTGCGTGCGACCATTTTCGGCCTAAATGTGGTAGGAATGTGGTAGGAATTTCCGCAAGCAATACAAAAGTATACAAAATTTGCGAACTTTGCAAGGCTATATTTTCCTCATTTTACAACATTTCGCAACCAAACTTTGTCATTTTACTAATTTTAGTATGCTCTTTCTAGCTGTGCTGATTTATTTGGGTTTCCTTGCCTAATTTTAAAATTAGTCTATAATGGGGATTGTCTATTAAGCTACATTATTCTATACAAGGATCACTGTATAAATTAATACAATCTGTCATATACACAGCTATACTATTTGGCATTACAACTGTGTCAAATGTTATCGTAATAATGCAAATATTGTCGCGGCAAATTCAAATATGTTTAAGCCAGGTCACATGCTCAAAATTCAGGAATGATGATGGTAAATATTTCGTTTCAAAATTGCTCTATTATATAGAAAACATAACAATATTCTTACCTGTATGTTACTCAGTCATTCCTGGTATTCCATCTTCGTTAAAATACATTATTTCCATTTAAAATATTCATCTTTCACGCTGATAAATGAACTCAAATTGAAAATTTCAAAAATATGGCGGTCTGATTGAATGACGCTATCCCAGAAAGCTTTGCGCATGTTGTAGGAAAATTAGGCACCAGGCTGTCAAACCGCGCTCATCGTGCGAATTTAATTAATTCGTGCCAAATTATAAACGTAAGTAGGTCAAAATTGGGGGGAATAACTTTAAAAAGAAGGCATATGCAATATTTTAGTTGAAAATAAAATAATTATGTAAAAGTAATGAGGAATTTTAACATAATAGGAAATGTTTTTTCGTCGACCCCTCTCCCCCCCCCCAATTAACAACAATTTTGGGAAAGTTTACATGGACATTTTTCATTATGGTCAGAGAAAACTCAGGAAATTTTGACCAGTTAAATAAATATAATATTTTGACCAATTAATATTAAATGTCAAAAAAAAAATTTAATTGCGACCTAAAAAAGTGGTTGTTTCAACCAATCAGTTTTTACAGCGAGGTAACTGGATTATGTATGATCCTCTATATAGAATAACTATAGTTCTCATAGAAATATATTGTATATTGGTAAAACCATAGTTTTATTAAAATTATAGTGTATTGGAAAAGAACTATAGTTTTCATAAAACTATAGTGTATTAGTAAAGAACTATAGTTTTTTATAAAAATATAGTGTATTGGTAAAGAACTATAGTTTTCATAGCTAGCTAGAACTATATTGTATTGGTAAAAACCATAGTTTGCATGTCATAAAACTATTAATAGTGTATTGGTAAAGAACTATAGTTTTCATAAAACTATAGTGTATTGGTAAAGGACTATAGTTTTCATAAAACTATAGTGTATTCGTAATTAAAGAACTATAGTTTTCATTAAACTATAGTTCTTCAATACACTATAGTTTTATGAAAACTATAGTTCTTTAAAAGAACTATAGTTTTCATAAAACTATAGACATAGTGTATTGGTAAAGAACTATAGTTTTCATAAAACTATAGTGTATTGGTAAAGACCGACTATAGTTTTCATAAAACTATAGTGTATTCGTAAAGAACAATAGTTTTCATTAAACTATCAGTATGTTGGTAAAGAACTATAGTTTTCATAAAATTATAGTGTATTGGTAAAGAACTATAGTTTTCATAAAACTATAGTCCTTTAGTTATGAAACTAAAATATATGCTAGTGGTAAAACTATAGTTGTCTAAACTCAACTATAGTTTTCAAAAAACTATAGTTCCATTGGGTTATAAAACTATAGTTTATTGGAAAAAAACTACAGTTATTTTGAAGTTAACTATAGTTTTTTTTTGGAAACTATAGTATTCCACCAAAAACTATAGTTTTTCACCAAAAACTATAGTTTTTCTCCAAAAAACAATAGTTTTTGGTGAAAAATTATAGTTTATTTTTGTAAGGGGAATTATTGATATAAAAATTAAAGGAGGAGCTTTTTCGATTCTATTTTGTACTGTTGAAAATCACAATACATTTCATGATTCAATGATTGTATTAGCTTTATTGCTGCAATAGACCAATATATAAATACTTGGCTTGAATTTATTATGGCTTTGCTGTTATTAAATGGTAAAGCTCCCAACATTCCAACCCTTGCCAAACAACCTGAACTTGTGAGGGTTGGAGCTATGATGACATCTGGAATGATCCAGGCCAGTTTATGTGTGCCTGGTTTGCAGGGCTGACCCTGTTTGAAAGGTCTTGTACAGATGAAAATTATTGAGTAGAAATTTATATACATTTATTAAATATCCTTCTATACAAGACCCTTCAACTATTTTTGAATTGAGTGGGAAGCCAGGTTCCCGGGAGCACAACCTGGAGACAAAAATTTCCTTTATTAGTATTGGAGTATTTTTGTGCTAAATCTGCATGTGCATAAACATATAGTGTTCTAGCTGACCATGGTTTTAAATTCAAGGAATAATGTCTGTCAACCATATGTTGTTGCACCCATAGTGGGACATGGGTGTTAAGGTTTCCTTCAAATGTTAATCAATAGCAAATCTTCATTCAAACAAATTTCCTGCAGCTGTTTAACATTTACTGCGCACAAGCAGTGCTCGCCTATTTTTTCCACCCCTGTATATATTGGTTACAGCAAGCGCTGCACCGGAATTGCAGGGCAGGTTGGATTTCTGCCAGCAATCAGCAGTTGCATTTTGATTTTTCACGACTTTTCCCGGTTAGGTATAATAAATGCATATAAACTTCTACTTGATAATTTCCATCTATACAAGACCCTTCAACTATTATTCAATTCTGTATAACCTGTCTTCCTAAGCTGTTCTTGTTGATCAAGTTTTTAAATAAACATTTTCCTGTACACAGTAGCATGAATTCAGGTCTTTTTTTCATGACTTTGACTCCTTTGTCTGTTGATTTTTTTTTAAAAATAAACTAAGATATTATTTGTGCACTATGTGTGCTGTACGTAACTTTATTAAATGCAAGTTAATGACAAAAAAATCAAGCATGCATTAATTAAAGTTGGACTATTAACCCCAAATAGAATTTTTGGTTTGTGTGATATTTGGGTCAAAATTCTAATAAGAAATGTAATGTATCTTTATAGTAAAAATTCACCTAATGACATCATATCTGGAAACTTTGACAGTGAAAAGGTCGACGAAGAAGGGATTTTTTATTATAGAGATAACATTTCTTCGAACGAACGACACATATATTGCACATACAGTACCAAAAATCATATTTGTGGTTAGTCAGACTTTAAAATTATATTTCTCATTTTCCAAATATTCATATCCTTTGAAGTCATCATCTTTCCCCATTAAAAACTGCAGATAGTTTGATAAACAGAACACAATGGTATTATTTCATCTTTTTTACAACCATGAGCTAATCTGGTGAATGACATGCATGCCACTGATATAAAGACCTAAAAGTAGAGATATAATTATACCTTATACTTTAATAATATATTCTTTAATCTTTAATCAAGTGAAGATGAGGCAAACCAGTGATCTGTTATACAGCTTACTCAAGAGTCAAGACACAGTAATCTGTGCAGCTCAAGCAGAGCTTTGCCTTGACGTTAGCAAGGTGCATTAACCTATTCCTATAATAAACAGAAACTTTGCATGGTCCTATTAAACTGAATATGTCCAAAGTTTATAAATATATCAAGTTAAGATATTAAACTGAATATGTCCAAAGTTTATAAATATATCAAGTTAAGACCTCAAAAATTACTTCTCCTTTGAATCAGCTTATACCACATGTTTGTACAATAAAGCTTTTCAAATGATCAGATCAAAAGCAATTGAGGCAAACAGAATCAATTCCTGCATATTTTGTGAATGGCAAATCAAACTGGTTATCCCTTGTCTATATCAAATTTTATAGTATTTTTCGATAGTTAAGCTATAATAGTATTGAATCTAAAATACACAATTTTTCGTTTGTTTACTTGCAGTCGCAGAATATTAATTGCCAAATGCGACTATCACACGATATTTACAAATGGAAACTATTTGATTCACTTACCGAGAACTAACATGATTATGCCCGTTCCATCTATAAATAATTTCTTTACATCCCTGTTATATTCTTCTACAATCTTGGCCAAAAGTTCGTAGAACGACAAAACAAATTCGCAACTGTTTAATATACTTGGGTTTTAAAATCATTTTGCACCTCCCCCCGCTCACCCCATTCAATGTTGCTCTCCCACATTTCTAGTACACGTACAATTTTGTTGTACAGTAGGTCAGATCATAAATATACACGAAACAGCAACATTGAATGGGGGGAGGCCTTAAAAATTTATCATCGTCCTACGGTTTATGGCCAAGATTGTCTGAAAATTGCTACATGTTCATATTCACGAAAAATGCATTTAACCTTGTACAAGACACTTGTGCTAATTTATTCTGCATAAAAATATCAAATATGATTGCATCAGTGTGTTGGCGCATATTATTTACGTCTTTAGTTAAGGTGGCTCTGCTAAGCTGCTCAAGTTATATTTGCTTTCAGGTTACATATAAGACAACCTTAAGCCCCGTTTACACGGGTCTTAAGCCCTGTTTACACAACAAGAATTTTGGGCACGGCACTCTTAAATTTAGGCACGCGTGCTACTATTTTTAATCGGCCCGCTTCGTTTACACGACAAATTTTAAGCGGGCCTATTCTCAAGTAAGCACCCCTGATCACAAAGAAAAGGTCCTCTTAAATTGCGAGCCCGAATGAAACAGTGTTAGCGGCTATAAACGCAAATATCAACTTTCGCGGGTTTTTTTTCGAACATGGCGAACAGACAGAAATCATGAAGCGAAAGTTAAAATGGCTTTTGCTTGGTGTATGTACCTAAAGAAACGAAGACATGCAGTTCGAATGATGTACAAAGACAACATTTTACCACAAATACCGTTTCATAAAATTAACAAATGCCTATCAGTTGCATTCTTTGAAACTGTACTAGCGTATTTGCATCGGTCACAAGAAAGAATTTTGTGGATGCACCCACGTTCGCTTATTTGGTTTGACATGGTCGATCAGACATACAACGACGAGTTGTGGTATGACCCTATTTCTGCAAAATGACGGCTGGCGCTAACATTATGTTATTTAGCCTCCACGGCTGAGTATAGGACTGTTGCAAATCTGTTCGGTGTATCGAGATCTCTTACATGCCAGTGTGTCAAAGAAGTGTGCTGCGCAATCGTAAAGCGCTTTCCAAGGATGATCTCCTTCCCTAAGGGAGACAACCTCGTTGAAGTTCTTGAAAGCTACGAACAAAAATGGGGGTTCCCGGTGTGTGCTGGCGCAATAGATGGCACGCACATACCAATACTTGCACCAGTTGAAAGCCATGTAGAATATGTGAACCGTAAAGGTTTTCATAGTATTATCATGCAAGCAGTCACCGATTGCAATTATCTATTTTGAGATGTGGTCATTGGATGGCCTGGAAGCGTCCATGATGCGCGAGTTCTCTCCAACTCTGCAATTTTCAAAAATGGAAATGAAAAACACCTTTTTCCTGCTCGTCTCGTTAAGGAAATTGGAGGAGTCGAAATAGCACCTTTTCTTGTGGGCGATCCTGCTTACCCTCTATTGCCATGGTTGCTGAAGGGATATCCCAGAAACAATGCTTCAGAAATGGAAAAAAGGTTTAACTACAACCTTAGCCGAGCAAGAATGACGATCGAAAACACGTTTGGAAGATGGAAGGGAAGATTTGTCAGGTTTGGTAAGCGAGTAGATATGGAAGTATCCTCTCTAGTTAACGTTGTACACGCATCGTGTATTTTACATAATATGTGTGAACTTCAGAAAAACAACTTTCTGCCTGACTGGGAGGTGGTGGGGGCTATTGAAGAATTGAATGAGCCAGAAGATGAGATTGAGGTGGCACAAGATGCTGACAATATCCGCAGTGTTCTGACAGAGCACTTTGCTTGAGAACAAAACATTTTAAAATTTTATTGATACTTATGCTAGAGCATGAGCTCTAGCTATACAACAGGGTGCGATAATTCAATATTTTTAGCCGTACCTGACTGGTACTCCGACAACTTTTGCCGCGTACCTGGTCTGGTACAAACTTAAGAGTCAAGACGTACCTAAGACTGCTTCCGAGTCATGCGTTTTTATACCTACGTATAGTTTACTGGTCCAAAAGCAAAAAATGTATGGGCAATTTGTACAAACGAATCTTTAATTATGGTATTTGTACAACATAATATAACAGTTTTGAAAGCGTCGATGTTGTGACTCGAATGCCATCGCTCATTTACAGTGGATTTACCAAAGGTGCTAACAATCTGACCACAGCTACATACAGTGTAGTTTTCCTCACTGGGCCTAAAAAAACCCTGTGGTTCCGGTTTCATATCGCGCAAAAAATTAGGGTAGGTAGGTCAGAAATAAAAATTTTTTGAATATTTTTTTCATAGTTTTGGCGGTTTTTTGCTGGGCGATTTTCAGTAGAGTCCCGAGCATTGACAATTAAGCCCAGGTCACCCCCACACAATGATAATGATATGATAACTTGTAAACACGCGATGATTGGTAAAAAAATTATGTTGGTGTTCACACTACAATGAAAACGATAAAATTATCGTTTGACGATAACGATTTTAAAATCGCTCACCCGAGCGATTTTTTTTTCAGTCGGACGATGACGATAAATTTTTTGATCAAGCGCAAAGATAATTGCGGGAACCACTGAGTATTTTCATAAAATACAATACAACGGTAACTCAGAATAAAGTAAGCATTTTGATTCAACGTTTCGACTTTATTTAGTCATCATCAGGAATGGTTATATTACAAGTGCATGTGTTATATATACTCTACATAATTTGATATATAATTAAAAGAAAACCGATAGTTCTCTGGATGCTTTAGTCCCATGATTCAGTTCCGGTTTTTGTCGATGATAACCCTTTTGGCTTTTTTCATCCCAAAATATGTCGGATGCGTGGAATTTACATGTACAGCTAAAGTTCTTCACGGTTTTGAATATTTTGGCAGGTTTGCTAGTTATTGCTAGAAGGAAAATGTAAGTACGCGCGAATAGCAAATTTCCGCATACCTACGTGGTACTAGCCTAAAAACAAAGAAGTACCAGACCATAAATTTGGCGTTGGTACGCGAATTATCGCACCCGGTACAATCAGATATGAACGAGAACTGTTACATACACCACACTAAACTGTGAACAACATTGTAATTCGAATGAAATTCCCAGTATACTAGAGATTAGCAATAGAAAATGTTTGAAAGAAACATTTTCAAGATAAGAACTTTTCTATAGGTTTTTTTAACTATATCTTATCTATATCTTTTCTATAGGTCGTTCTTGATAATAGTAATCTTTAAGATATTTTAGAAATTTAGATAAAAACATTTAACATTCTCTCATCTTCAATTACACAACCGTCCACAGCTTGGGTGATCTAATAAAAGGTAGAAAGCTTACGGAAATATCTAAATTATTGCCAATCTCTTTTAACTCAAAGTTTAACAAACATTCGACTCATGTTCTACTTATTGTAAATAAATAAAAACAAGTGCATATTAATGCAATAATTTTTTCAACAATTTAAACCATTTTCAATGTTTCTTTAACCTTAACAAAAGTGTTCTTTGACTTGATTGTTACAACTTGAAATAAGTTGCACAATCATGGGTTGGGTATTTGTTTAAGCTGTGATCACTGCTATCACTTGAGTGTGAATTGAATGGGGTACTGTAGCCAATGGGATTATTGAATACTTGATAACCTGTTGTCACAGCAGAAGATTGTTGTGGTGACAATATCATACGTAGCATGTTAAGCTCATGCATTCTCTCTTCCTTCCTTCGCTCATTTTCCAACTTTAATTGCTCCAATCTAAATTTGTGTTCCAATTTGGCTCGGTCATCTTCGAGTTTCTGATATCTAAAAGCCCAAAAAGACTTATAGTGATGGCATAAATGAGAGGGGGGGGGCAAGGGTATTTTCATGACTTGTGTTTCGTGATTTAAAGAAATACCATTCCATGAATCGTGATTAATATGCGTGCCGTGAATCGTGAAGAGCTAAAAGGCTAGCTATGGTCTTTAATTTACAAATATTTTACCCTAACTTGCGAATGTTTACGTTTAAAACTCGGCCCAAATGTAATATTATGAGGAAAAATTTATAAATTTGCTTCCTGCGGTTGTCTTTGTTCTTCAGGTTTCTTCATTTCATCGGTAAACGTCGTTAACATATACCTTCGTACCTCTTCATAAACTTTGTGAACCATCGTACGATGCTCGTAATGCCTCGCAATATTTCCATTGTCCTTTAAACGGCTCTAATGTTAAAGTCAGTATGTGTGTTAAATGGTTTCAGACTTTGTTACACTTCTGTGTTTCTAAAAATCGTGAAAATGAAATTTTGTTTTTCGTGACTTGTGAAATCGAAAAATGGTCTTCGTGATTTCGTGACAAGACCCCCCCCCTTGCCCCCTCAAATGACAGTTTCTAGATCCTTCTTGCTCATTTGTGTTTACTCAATTTTGAGGTTTTGCACTGCATACATATAACATATAGGCATACCGAAATTTAGTTCTACCTTTCAAATTCACTTGCTGATGATTCCTTAAATTTCTCAAAGACAATTTCCAGAGATTTTTCAACATTGCTTTTCTTTTTTTTGTTCATGGGCATTTTTAACTCTTTTTCCTGGTTCAATCTTCTCTTCATGCATGACATTTTCTCACTTGATATTTTCTTGTTTGATGTTTTCTCTTTGTGACTGCATCAGTTACTTTCTTTACATGTAGATGAATCGTCATCATTTCCACTGTTATCTTTATCATCTCCTTTAAAAACATGAACATACATACAGTGGAGGCGGGAGGGTTTTTACTCGTTGACAGGCAAAATCATCTGGGATTAGACATTGTAAATAAACCTGACATTATATTAAAAAAGTAAAGTAGGGAGATTACATCTTAAAGGGTTAACTTACTACAAATTTTGGTTGCCTGTTTGTCACTCTTTGATACACAATTTGGGCAACAAAATTCATCCTCTGAAAACACACTAACTGATCCACCTTCGGATATATGAACTCCAGACGATCTTATTTCTTGCTCATAATCACAGGTTGGACACTTAAAAAGACTAGTTTCTCCTGCACCATACTTTCCAACCATATTATCAACTAGAAATATAGAAAACTTATAAGTCTGATTATATTGTATTACAATGTTGATTGTTGAATGACTTTGGGGAATGCTGATGTAAAAACTAGGTCCACACAATACATATTAATCTCATTTTATGTATTTGGTAGTATAAATTACTACACACATGTACAGTATACTAGATAATATGTATAAAAAATGTGACCAAAAAAACTCTTTAAGAAAAATTAGTGCTGAAATAAAGTATATAATAATTGGAAAAGCATACTTATTATGCAAATTGTTTCAATAATATAACCTGTCACTTTTGGTTTATTAAAATATACTATATACTATCACTAAGTAATATACTATTGTGCATAATGTACCTTCGCTTGAACTGTTATCTCCTGACTCACTTGGTTGCTTGTCATCAACCTCATGCACATGTAGTTCATCACTGGCCATTGTGTCAACAACTACCGGTGGATTGACATTGTGTCGCTGGGTCAAAAAACTGTCAATTTCATCAAAAAACTTCCATTTTTTCGATGCGGCATTTCCTGTTTGCTTTGACCTATCTTTTTCTTCTTTGTACTTCTTCTGCCTTAACTTTTTTAGTGTGTTGATCAGTTCTTTCAGGGTGAAATCTTCGTATCCTTTTGCTTTCAGCCGAGACTGTGAATTAGGGAAATAATTTAACTATATTACTTTATTATATCTAAGTTCATTAAAAAATAATGAAAACTGGTTGCCAATGTAGGTAGTGGAAGACAAAAGAAGGAAGTACATGTGGAAGATACAAAATGCAAAAATTGTGGCTCTGGGTCGTGGCCAAACAAGATGGACCAGAGGCAAGTTTTCAATATCAATCGCCAGTTTTTAAAATCATTAATTAAAATGTAAAAGAATAAAAAATCAGCCACTTGCAACAATACTAAACCTAATACTCTCTCCCCACATCTAACCCTAACCCCCACACTAACCCTAATACTAATGGAAATTCTTATTTCAATTTTGGAATCATCTTGTAAACTACCTCTCGTCCATCCCTTTTAGAGATAACCCTCTAAGCAACTACTCACTGGATACCGGACATTCGAAATTTCCAGTGTCAGTGGGCCCTTCCTCGTTTGTATCCATTCAATGTTTTAATAAATCAGCATGAATTATCATTGACAAAACACAGTGGTATGATTAATGTGGACAGACTAACTATGGATATTTATATTCATGAATTATTAATATGACTAGAAACAATATTAAAAATACTATGAGTATTGAGTATACACTATACATATTCATGATTGATTGCCAATCCAGAACTGCACATTTGGGACAAATTCTAAACTTTAAATGACTCACCAGTAGTATGTTATACACAACAGAAGTAGCCCGAGATGTCTTACAAGAATCCAACGATATCTGAATTGTTTCTTCCGCCCATAACTGGATTAAACATCGAGTAGCGTCGTCTGACCACTGTTTTCCTCTTGTTTTAGCCGCCATCTTGCGTTGTTATCTCGTGAGAATGCGCATGCGTAATTAATTTTGGGTATGTGTGCCGTGTTTTTGGCGGGCCGAGACTACGTCTGGAGATGATCTCGGCCCGCCAAAACTTTTCGGCACGCGGACCTGTCATGTTACAGTTTACACGACAAAAATTTGGAGTGCCGTGCCAAATTTACAGGCCCGCATGCCTAAATTTAAGAGTGCTGTGCCCAAAATTCTTGTTGTGTAAACGGGGCTTTAGTCTATTAGAAATTGTACATTTTCGCTTTTTTATAAATAAGACCATACTCCTATGAAATATCTGTTTTGAAATTTACAAAATTTCAGTTATTCTTAAAAGAAGGCAATCTATACGATATTAGATTGAAATTAAGCCAATGTGTTTAGATAATTGAGAATTATTTGCACAAGTAATGTAAACAAGAGAAATTTTCTACTTCATTTTACATAACAAAGCGTAATTGCAAGAGCTTATTGCGATATTATAATGTGCTGCAAATCAATATGTAATTGTTATACGTGCGGGCCGCCGGGTTTTCTGTATCGTGACACTCAGTACTCAGTGACATTGTACTCAATGAAACAAGAGCTAAGCGAACATATATGAATTTGCACAAGTAATGTACACAAGAGAAATCTTCTACTTTATTTTACATAAAGAGTAATTGCAAGAGCTTATTGCGATATATTTTGCGCAATCGTATATGAACTTTTGTCAGTACTGGAAGAAGAATTTGAGCTAAATAAACAGAATTTTCTTGCCAAAATTATCATTTTAGTAAGTTATAGCGGCAATTTGTAATATAATTTATAGTGTTTGTTTATGCTTGCGTTCCTGAGTCCCAGGCCCCCAAGCAAAATTTAGTACAACGGATTTTTTTCAAAAAATGTCAAAATTGCCATGTTTGAGGGCCTATATCTCAGAAACTATTGACCTAAATCAAAAAAGGTTGAAGAACTTGTTAAATAACTTTTTGCGCTCTTTTCAAATCCGTAAAGATCCCACAAGTGATATAGGCACTATAAATGAAGCGTTCAAAATATGAGTAACATGCTCTGCTAAGATCTCAGCATATTCCTTTAGTAACCACTTTGAAATCCTGTCTGGTCCGCAAGTTTTATGTTTGTTTAGATGTGTTAAGGATTTGTAAACTCGATAAACAGGAAGTTGTAGGATGTCGGAATCATTTTTTTAGGTACGCATACTACAATATGGTGAAGTGAGTGGAAAGCTTGAAGAGGTTCTAAAAATGCAGCATTTAATTTATTTGCAATGTCCCTGTGTGGCGTATCTTGTAGCTCTGGAATTGCCTGTAGTTTATTTAGTAGGTCACCGAGTCTGTCTTTGTCGCTTTGGGGATTTTGCATTTCAGATCTTCAACTTTAGATGAATAAAACTTTGCTTTGCTAGTTTTCCTTTCTCTATTCACTTTGTTCCTCAAAGTTTTATATCACTACCTTCTTTGTTTGAGTGGAAAGCTAGCTGTCGTAAACATACAAGTTCCTTAAGCTTTATTAGTCATCTTTAGGATAAACTTTGATAGACTTTATAGGCATGTTGTTCATTCCTATTTTTACTGTTTCATCAAAAACTGATAACATACATTTGCAATCCCTTTGGTTCATCAGTAAGGACCAATTCAAATTGGCAAAGTATTGAGCAAGAGAATTTTTTGCTCTGTCTTTTGTCTCGGATAAAGATTTGTTTTCTTGTGGACATGTGTTCTTTTGGATTCAACAACACAGTGCTATGATTAGAGTAAGGATTAAATCGAGAGTGGCTTGGCCCCTTGTAGGCGATTTGACTAACTGCTTTAAATTGAAATGACGTTGCAGACTACCTACATTAAGATGGTTAAAGTCTCCTGCAACAATAAGTCCGCAATTGGGGAATGTTGACTCTGCTGCAGATTAACTTTAGAAAAGGTGGTTCGTAATTAATTGGGAGTCCACCCCTGGTGGATGGTAAACCACAGTGACAAATAAACATGAATAACCCCGAGGTAGTCGTTTTGTATTAAGCTTTAACCAAAAAATTTTGTGATCTTGACAGCAGTTATGATTCTCAGGTACTTCATACATAATACCGTCTCTGAGGTATATACAAACTCCACTTTATCTTTCCAGTGAAGGTTATAACCGTCTATATGTGCAATGGAATTCACTAATATTGTCGTTGAATCAAGTCTCCATAATGAGACGAATGTCAACATGTTTCCGTAGCAAGAACTCTTGTATTTCCACTAGTTTAGGCACAAGGGACATTGTATTTGAAAGCATTATCCGAGGAGCAAAGTTATAGGGTACTTGATTAAAGGTTTGTAATAAAGTTGAAAGTTGTGCTGCAGCATAAGTAAGATAAATCAAATTGTTAAAATTTCATTGTCTTTTGCAACTTTTTTTAATTTGCCGATTTTCATACATACGGTTTGTAATTCTTACTAGAATTTGACTGTTTGCTTTTGGGGTATCTATTTCGCTCGTAACATTGTCCAGTACTGAATCGTTTAATGAAACTTCTCACATTTGTCCCAGTATGGTAGGGGAAGTCCCCCCCAAACTGTTATAAACATGAAGTTCATCTGCCACAAAAGAAGAGATTACCCAGAAAGCAATAGAAAAACACAGGAGTTTTGATCAGACTTTTGTTGCTTGGCTTCTATTATACCCAATTTCTGAGAAATTGAATGGATTCCAGGAACTAGGCAGCCCTTCATATTATCCAATTACAAACAGGCAATTGATAAGGACTTGGATGAGGTTATGGAAAATTCAGATGAAAGTGGTAACAAATCTTCAAAATTGAACTTACACATGCCGGTGCCTGATATTCGTAAACAATGCCCGTAATCGGTTTCTTGCAAATAGCTCAAGCTCCCTGTTGGTTTATTTAATGTTGATATATTCAGAACATGGACTAGTCAGTGCTTTAAATGTTGCAGTATGTCTAATATTTCTAGTTTGTCAATATGTTGTTAAGGTTATTTATTATCTAAGTTTGTATTTTTAAATTTTACTAATGTATTAATACTTTTAGACTAATTAATTTGTAATTCCGTTGCTAAACCTTGATTGGAGCTTGCTCTGTTGTCTAACTCCTCATATAAATGTATGAAAGCTTATTAAAACTAAAAGAATAAAGTTAGTAATATAGAGATATAATAAAGGACACATAGTTGGTGGAAAGAGGGAAACCTCCCAAGTTTTCACTTTTCACCTTAAAATTGTACATATATGGTCACATTGCAGAGCATACTGCCAATCTCAATAGCTGAAAACAATTAAAAAGAAAACCATTACAAAATAAATAGAGACTGACTATATTTAAATGAGGTTTACCAGGGAAAGACTCTTGAAAGAGATTGTACTTGAAAGAGGGGTGGCCAATACACTAGGTTTACTGACTGTACTTCGTGAGTTGGCAAATTTGTTGTAGCACACTAACCCAGATATGGTACCCAAAGGCCTTCGTTCAGGTATTTAGTATTGCTATCATGATTATTAAAAGTACCAATTTCGATTGTGTATCAGTGTGGTAATGTCTAATATACATGTACATCTGTACAGTTATTCACTGGCAAGACCAAAATGGTAACTAACATATTTTTAAGAACAATATGTATGTTAGACAACAGAAAATTTAATAGAATTACATAGTTTGACAATGTACATATGAATGGGGGGCTAATAGAGAGGAGGGCTAAATACATTCCTTCATCTCAAAAAGGGGGGACTTTTTGGAGAGTGCAGGGTAATTATGTGGAGGGCGCTGAATATACAGTAACTAGTTAGAGTTAGTTATAGTTATTAGTTATAGTTAGAGCTTCTGGTATAATAGCTAAAATGCAACACTTCGTGAACCGAAATTCATTAAAACTGATATATTATGCATTAGTCATCCATACTTGATTTATGGCAACTTAACATGGGGTAATACTTATAAAAGTAGAATCCAAAAAATAATATACAAAAAAAAATTGTGCGCCTAATGACTTTCAAGTCTTACTTAGAGCACAGTGAGCCAATTTTCAAAGATTTAAGAGGCCGTCTCTGTAAGAACGGTCCACTGCAAATATGTTCAGAAAATATTTGACCTTCAAACTTTGTAGTTAAAAAGTATTTCATACAACGTTAATATGGTGCTTACACATTTTGCCATATCTTTCGATATGGCCTGTTTTTGCCCACTGAATCTGAACACCTTAATTGGCATTTCCGGTCGCTGAAAATTTGACAATATTTAGGTAAATTGAAAAGTCTGCTACGGACACTACAAAACTCCGATTTACACTATTTCGTTATATGTTGTAAAACGCATATCAATCTTGACTATGCGTGGAGTTCATTGTGTTTTGTTAACTTTTCAATGCAAAATTAATCTTTCAAAAACAGCCTAAAACTCGTTTTCCCAACTAAGACAAAAATATGCCGTTTTTTAATGGCAATATCTCAAAAGTTAGAAGCAGTGAAGAAACTAACATACCACTAAAGTTTAGCTTGTATACCATGTTAAAAGCCTCTTTAAAAACATGTTGCATTTCAAACAGGAAGTTTAAAGGGAGCACAATCCGAGCAGGATTGGTGGTAGACTTCAACCAAAAATGTTAATGCAAAATTTGAAGTAGAAAAAACACTCACATGCCACGACTGGTAAATTGTTTTAACTAATATGGCGCATTACTATGAAATTCGTGGTTTTAAACCGTTTATAAATCGGAACGAAAGTTGATTTGGTTTTCGCGTGCAGTTTTTCTGGCTAATTTAACACGTTGTGTGTTTACAGTAAGCGAAAGAATCTTAAAACACATCAGATGATTAACGAATTATATGTATCACAAATAAAAAGTGTAATTGCGGACAGAAACCTGCCGGTGGGGCCCGGGGAGGGGGGGGGAGGTTTGCGCACGAGTTAAAAGGAGTTGCTAAAATTAGAGTAAATGTTTACGACTGGAAACCATAAAGCATGTATAATGGATCTTTACTGCTTTTTGAGTGCAAGTGACCCTGCTAATTGCGGAGTTTCACGGGGATGTACCGAAACAGTTTGTTTGTATGACTGCAAGGATGACATTCGTTCTCATCTTCGAAGCTGTCATTTGTCTAAAGAAAATGTCGATGAATATAAGCTTATCCTGGCGAGGGCAGGCCTCTTTGACCTTAGCGACGACCAAATCTGCAAAATGGGCATTTGCCCGAAACATCGACATAGATTAGGAAGGTATTGGTTGAAGAGCAAAACCACATGTCAATATCCTGGTCATGTCGGTAATAGTAAGAAAGTCGTGGGGAGAGATACATTCTCCATCAAGATGTCTGAGGAAGTGCTGCTTCTTTACGGAGTTACTGTTCCCACTGGATCAGGTACGTAATTTACCCTATATTTACTTATATGACAAACTAAGACTCATTAACCCGAGTGGAAGAAAGTATTTGCCTTAGATTTTCACGCATGCCTAAATGCCCAACGAGTTTAATACATGATTATTATAATGAATTACACGCGTTTTCGAAATTATGCGACCAGGCGAAAATAGCTGGAGTTAACATGTCAGTTTTATGTCACACGGTCACGAAGTTCAAACTGTTTACAACTTTTAGTTTTGCGGTTCATTATCGATATATATGCTTAGTATCCTTTATATATAAAGCCTGGGAGAAGGATTTTCAAGTTATTTGTGTGATAATTATTGCAAAATTTAAGCACAACGAAATCATAATATTACCGCTATAATCTAGCGCAAGCGGGTTTAATACACAGTAAAATCGAGGTACAAAATTGTTCTTTTCCGAACTTTGAAAGTCAATCTCGCCACAGATTTCTGTTGTGATGGCTTTTTGTTCCTTTTAGTTTGTATATCTAGCTCATTTTGATTCAATTTTCTTCTTTAAGTATTAAATACGTTATAAAATGACTTTTGTTTACGTTTGCTATTTTTAGATAAAACTTATTAATTAACTGACATTTGAACAAACATTATTTTCGAGTTAGTTGATCGCGTGATTTTGGAAACGGGTGTAATTAGGGACGGACCATTAGAAAAGTGATGGGGGGGGGGTCCATGTCCAACGTGCACGATTATTTTTTCAAAATTTTTTGCTGTGTCGATTTTTTTTTTAATCCCTTGCTCGATTTTATTTTTTTTCTTAGCGGGGCGGGGGGGGAGGGGGCGGCGAAGTGAAATTTTTTTCCGGACCACACCAGTGTTGTTAACGTTTAAAACACATTTTCCCTTAAAACATGATTAAAACGCTTTTTTTGCACCAATATCCACTACATTTAGGTTTAGAATTTTTTTCTCACACTATTACTAACTGAAAAATTTCCAAATTATTTTTTTTATTTTCCAAATTTGGGGGCCACCTTTACACTGTACCTCTGATAGGCCCTGTCAACATATAATTTTCCCTATTGAAAAGTCTCTACACGAATTTTTATTTCAAACTTTTCTGGTGCACGAGTTTTTTCTGTTCCCCCTGCTCGATTTTTCTTTTTGCTTTTGTCCCCCCCCCCCATCACTTATCTAATGGTCCGCCCCTTATATGACTGACTCTTGATACAATTTAATGTAATGTTTTGAGGGCTGTTTTTATTATTAGACTTAACTGTTAGCTTTTTCTTTGGTTGCATGTTCTCATCAGTTTGATTTGTATTTGTCATGCTTTACCAACATTACATGTAAAATTATTGAACTCGGCAATTTTCCCGCCAAAACGGACCGGTCAGGTAAGACAGGTAAATAAAAGGCATATTGACTTTGTCAAGCCAGCGTAGCAGTGGTTTGAAGGTTTTGAGGATTTTTGAATCTAACCCACCTTATATTCAAAAATCCTCAAAACCTTCAATAAAATAAAGCGTTTTGCAAGATTTTTTATACGCCTTTAATATTCTTAAAGTTCCTTCAGGAATAATTTTCCTCCACAAAGAGAATTTATATAAGTGGAAGAAAAACGCCTCTAATTCGAGCTAATGATCGACACTCGGGATATCGGTCCAAATACGGTAACCAATCAGAATGCAGAATATTACAAAACTATAAAGACTATAAACGTACTTAGGTATTGGGGAAGGGGGGGTGTTCGTGTGGATGGATAAAAACGGTGTTCTGATCAAATAAACCTGTTTTTAGCCCTTTGCTGCAGCTGCAGAAAAAGGCACAAGGAAAAATGGATTACGAAGCACGCTGGTTAAAAGCTGACAATGGAGATACGACATCTAAAACTGAAAGAAGGCAAGTTTATACTAATCCCATTCTTCATCTTGCAAGACAATCGACCATCTTTTAAATAAAATATTTTAAACATTTAGGTTTCCTAGAATAGCCAAGCAAGTTGCACAACAATCCTTCCCCGCAATGTTGGGGTCTCCAGAAGTAGAGGGGAAAGATCCAACATGGACACCAAGCAATCTGGAAAGGGCCGATAACAGAAGTTACAATGCTTTGACTAATGAAGATAGCGTGTTGCAAGTTTTTAATGATGGAATGGAAAGCATAGCTAGAGCATCCAACACACACTTTGAACCTGTGATCTTTCAGCTACAAACAACGCTTAGTGAAGCTACAAGCTACGAGAAAACCGAGTGCATGCGAAAGGCTGAAGAGGCGTGCGCAATAGTGTGTAAAACTATTGCACCAAAAGACGGCGAAAATCTCCTCCGTGTAATTTCACCAGTCCGTAGTGAGTCACCCCCTAATGAAGTGCTGGCTCTACTGAATGCCTACAAAAACGCACCGACAAAGAATATCAAGACCCAAATTTTGAGTTTGTATTGCTATCAGTACACTACAAAAAAACTAAAAGAGATGCATGAACCATTCGAGAAGCTCAGCGATCGAAAAATAAAGCTTGCACGGTCGCACGCTAAAACGGTTGGAGAAGGTTTTCCAATTGAAAATGTTACAATGTATCGTCATCGTATGGATAAAGGAAAGCTAGATCACTTTTTGTCGTTTGTTAACCGACCATATTTTTACCAGGACGTTGCATATGGGACACGTAGACTTAAACTTGACAGTGGTGCCCGAATTGAAATGCCAAACGTTGTGCGAACCGTAACTAGATCAACTATTATTGCCCAGTATGAACAGCATTGCAAGGGAGAAGGTTTCAGTCCGCTTAGCCGTGCATCGATGTATCGAGTGTTACAAGTAAGGGAAGCATCGCAACGAAAGTCACTCCAAGGGTTGGACAATATTGCAACGGATGGCAGTGCCGCATTTCATACCCTTTCTCGCATTGTAGAAGATCTGGAACAAACGTATGGAGCAGAAAAAGCGTGGTCCACACAAGTTCTTCGCGGTCTAAAAGATGGTAAACGCTATCTAAAAACGAACTATCGAGTCCACTGCAGAAACGAATCAAGCAGCTGTCCTGACCATTGCCGAACGTTCGCCTTGAGTGATCCTGGTGATCCAGATTTCCAAGCTGAATGTTCGCATTCACACAACGTATCCTGTGAAAGCTGTGAAAACATCAATCAAATCATGACGTCCATTGAAGAGCAACTGACAGAACGTGCAAATAATATGTATACCATGGAACAACTGGACGACTACAAGCATGACGTTGCACAGGCACGACGCTTTATTCATAACTGGAAAGCGCACATTTTACGCGCTCAACAGCAGGAAGATAGCAAAACTGACGTTATAAAATCTCTAAACAGATCATCAATCTTGATAATTATGGACTGGGCAATGAAATTTGTTCAAATGCGACATAGGGAGAAACAATCCGATTGGTTCGGAAAAAGAGGAATGAACTGGCATGTCTGCAGTGTTCTTTCGAAAAGTGAAACCAATCTCCTCCAAATTGAGTACTACGTCCACCTGTTTAACAGCTGTGTCCAAGACTGGTATTCTGTTGTATCAATTCTTGAGCAACTTTTAACTTCAATCAAGAAAGAAAGACCAGAAATTCAACAAGTCTTCATTCGCTCAGACGAAGCTGGCTGCTATCACAACAACAACATAGCCGCTGCCATGAGGGACATTGGAGAAAGAATTGGTATTACTGTTGTTCGTTACGACCACTCTGAACCGCAGTACGGCAAAGATATTTGTGACCGCATTTTATGCCACCTCAAAGGGACTATTCGACGTTACTGCCACGAAGGCAACGACATCCTGACAGCTGCGGACATGTACCAAGCGCTCAAGGAACGACCTATCGCAGCTTCTACAGCGGGCGTGTTTTGTCTTAATCAGAAGAATAGGGACTTGCAAGTCAAGAATATCAATGCATTTGGCAGTCTCCATAATTTTCGATATGAAACGAAGGGCCTTAGAGTTTGGAAGGCGTTTGGAATAGGACCAGGGAAGCTCATTCCATGGCACGCCATTTATATTCACCACCAAAGTCCAACTGAGCTAACTATCGATGGCAAGAAAGAATTCTTCCTCACCACTGCCAAAGTTGTGAAATCTTCAGCCAATACAAAACCTGACGAACAACCAAATAAGGACAACGAAGATGTGCTGTTATTCGAGTGCCAAGAAGTCGGATGTGAACAAAGCTTTGAAAACCTCAACGATTTAGAAGTGCACATTTCCCTTGAGAAGCACAACACCACGAAAGAAAATATCTATGACTCTCTTAGGCGGGAATGGGTTAGTCAGTTTAACTCCATCAGAATTGAAGAACAATCAACACCGGAAGATAAAGAAAAAAGAGTCCGGAAATCCCAAACAAGTTTGGAGAAAGGGTGGGCTTTACATCAGGTAAGCACACGAAAGCGTTTTAGCAAAGAGATTCGCGTCTATTTGACAGAAAAGTACGATGTTGGGGAAAAGACAGGTTGTAAACTCAATCCGGAACAAGTCGCAAGAGATATGAGGACAGCAAAGGACGAGGCAGGATTGCGCAAGTTTAAGAGAGAGGAATGGTTAACTAAAAGTCAGATTCAAAGTTTCTTTTCGAGGATTACGGCCAATCGACGAAAACAGACTGGCCAAGTCGAAGAGGACGAAGATGGAGTTTCTGATGAAGAACATTTGGCATACTCAGAAGATTTGATTTACGAAGAATGCATGCAAGAGGTGTTGGAAGAAATCGCATTGAAGCATCCAATTATGTACGATACATATGACTTATGCGAACGCACGAAGACCAACAAACTTAAACTTTTTAAGATTCCAATGCTAAAAGAAATTTGCAAGCATTTTGAAATTGTACATTCATCACGAACCAGTAAGCGTGATCTGTTGCAGAAAGTAGAAACTTTAGTATCGACATGTGTATGCATGTGTAAATAGACGACTTATATACGTAGTATTTATTACTGAAGCAATATTCGGATGGGGGACGGGGGGGGGGAGCTTGATTTCCATTTTGTAATACGACATATCATAATCCTTCAAAGACTATATAAGTTCCACATGTAATGAACCAAATGAAAATACCAGAAATCACCAATGACATCAATCCAACGAAGACAAAATTGACAATTATTTATATTAGTGACAATACGGAAATTCTTGATATGAATTAGTAAGAAATTGAAAAATATTGTGACTGTTGTATCCGTTGCGATCTACGAAAAAACTTTACACTGACCACATTATTTTAATGCCTTTAATTAATAATGAATCAATAATGACAATAATGACTTTAATTAACTTAATAGGGAAACATTTTATTGTCCAGTATCCCGTATCATTATATAACTTTTCTTTATATCAGTAACCCGTAATAGCGCCTCACTAGTTTGCTGGATCTAATCTGTTTGTAATTAGGACGCAATTGCACATATTTAGTTTAATCAATGAACTCGCTTGACTTGCATAGTTGTAAACGTGTAGTAAAGTGATCAGCGTACTTAGACTATTGAAACACGATACCACGTAATAAGTTCTTTGTATGATTGCATGGCGATAAAATATATCACGATAAAATAAACACCACGTGGTGTTTCCACAAACAAAAAGTGTTATAAGTGTAAAAGTGTTACTACAATCGTAGTAATTTGAACTATTTGAACACTTAGTCTCTCTCCTCCGTACATGCAGGCTTCTGTGCCATATGATTAATGCGATTAGCATTGAAATACATTTCAATACACTTTACATGGCAGATCTTGGAACACGAGCGGAGACACTTAGCAATATCATTTGAACAAAATTTTCTTTGACATTGGAACGACGCCAACATCTACATAGCGTACATGTACAATAAAAAAGCCCAAGATTCTTGACTAGGTGGTTAGTGATATAAATACTTATTTAGTTTCTGAATATCTTAGAATGCATTATTGTTTCGTAATACTTCCTCAGATAAGGAAGATCTGAAACAATAAACAGTGTTATTTTTATATTCTGGCAGATGAAGTTTCGGAGTCATGCGAACGTGTCAAGCTTTGTATGAAAACAAGCACACAGCCCATTCTATAATGCCGCTATTTCGTAACCGATATCGCGTGAACAAACTCTTTAACCCCGTATTTAAGATTTATAGCTGCGAGCAGGCTAGCCCAGATTGGCTCCGCCTTAAAACAAGACAATGAAAAACAATGCTAATTTCGGTGATTTACGACATTTTACCAACCAGTTCAATTACAGATTTTGTCCGAACAACATTGCAATGGTCCGGCAGACAAACATTTGTTGTGATGTATGTAGATTTCTATAACATATGCTTAGGTATAAAATGTTTTTATCACAACAGGAAGTGCCAAAATTCCATGTAAATTTCACAATTTGGTAATGTTTCAAGGGCTGTCGCACAAAATACTGGAAAATGCCGCAACATTTTTTTAAAGAGGCTTTTAACATGGCTTACAAGCTAAACTTTAGTGGTATGTTAGTTTCTTCACTGCTTCTAACTTTTGAGATATTGCCATTAAAAAACGGCATACTTTTGTCTTAGTTGGGAAAGCGAGTTTTAGGCTATTTTTGAAAGATTTATTTTGCATTAAAAAGTTAACAAAACACAATGAACTCCGCGCATAGTCAAGATTGATATGCGTTTTACAACATATAACGAAATAGTGTAAATCGGAGTTTTGTAGTGTCCGTAGCAGACTTTTCAATTTACCTAAATATTGTCAAATTTTCAGCGACCGGAAATGCCAATTAAGGTGTTCGGATTCAGTGGGCAAAAAAAGGCCATATCGAAAGATATGGCAAAATGTGTAAGCACAGTATTAACGTCGTATGAAATACTTTTTAACCACAAAGTTTGAAGGTGAAATATTTTTCGAACATATATGCAGTGGACCGTTCTTACAGAGACGGCCTCTTAATTTTATATTTTGGCCGGTTTGTCGCGTTTAGTTGTTGAGAAAGAATAGATAGATAGATAGAAAAACTTTATTTAAACACGCTGACCCCGTCAACCGAAGCTGGTTTCCACGGGGGGCGTGTGCAAACTATACAGATACACTAAAAAGCTATTTACAAAATTATATAAGATATATAGTATTAAATAAGTTAAAGTAATTTAGATATATTTACAAATCATTAATCAATCAGTCAATGTGAGTAACGATTTTTTTCCGAAAGGCAGAAAGGGATTTGCTCTCTCTAATTTCTTTTGGAATTGAATTCCATAGGTGTGCTCCGTCATACATGAAACTTTTTTTCATATTATTAGTACGCGGTTGTGGTAGACCACTTGAAATATCTCGGAGGTGATACTTTGTTTTCTCACCTTTATATGTGAAAAGATTAGAGAGTGACTTGGGACCCATTTTATTTAATAATTTGTACATTATTTTTGCTTTCCCTTTCTTTCTTTCTGTTTTAAGTGTCTTCCAACCCAATGCTTGCAGAGCAACAGAATGATCTGTGTCATTGCTCATATTCATAATGATTCGAGCAGCTCTATTTTGGAGTTTTTTTGATTGTGTCTCACCAAACACATCCCATACTTCACAGCAGTAATCGAAGTATGGGCGAACAATAGCATTATACACAGAAAGAAGGGCTTGCTTATCAGCAAATTCTTTCAGTCGTCTAAGAGCAGATATACCGGATGTTATTTTCTTGCAAATATTCTCAGTGTTACTTTTCCAAGATAAATGCTGGTCAATTGTCACCCCAAGGGTTATGGATTCATGAACTTGCTTAACTGATTCGTTTTCAATTTTAACGTTTAGTTGTAGATCTGAAATACTTCTAATCATTTGTTTAGAGCCAATTAACATAAACTCTGTCTTAGCTACATTTAGGCTAAGTTTATTGGCAATTAGCCATTTTCTAAGATTTTCTAAATCAGAATTCACTGCAGCCTCCAGATCAGTAATAGAGTCTCCAGAAGCTGTCAGGTTCGTATCGTCAGCAAACAGCCGAGGTTTTGTTTTATATAGACATTGAGGCAAATCATTAATATATAGTAGGAAAAATAGTGGCCCTAAAATAGAGCCTTGTGGTACTCCACATTTGATCAGTTTCTCTGACGAGAGAGAGTTTTGAATTTGGCATTTCTGCTTTCTATTGGAGATATACGATTGGACAAAAGATAGGGCTTGCCCTTTTACTCCATATAACTCTAGTTTTTTCAATAAAATTTGATGGTCAACAGTATCAAATGCTTTCTTTAGGTCAATTAAGATTACCAGATTAAATTTTTTCCTGTCTAGATTCATATACCACTCGTTTGTACAGTCCAGTAATGCTGTAGTTGTAGAGTGAAATTTTCGAAAACCAAATTGACAATCACTTAGATGCCCAAATTTAGTTAAATAATGTAAAGTTAAATAAATAAAAAGTTCAACAGTTGTCCGCCATTTTGAAAATAAGCATTTATGCCACAGCATACATTATCTGACGTCATTAGCTGGGTAAACACAATTTCATGACTATAAAACAATACCGAGTATTACCACGCGTAGTGCACTTTGAGCCAAAACCAAAGGCAGAAACGTTTTACCAAGTATGTACCTTATTTGTAACACTATTTCACATAGTATATATCCTAATCCGTGTTAAATAAACGCCGAAATTCGAGTGTAACAAGGCAAACACTAATGCAATATTTTATGATCAATTACCTGTATTGTAAATTGACCCATTCCTTGCTTTCCCAGTCGCTCGATATGTTTTTATCTGATAGTGTAGACTTCTCTTGTTTGATTGCGAAGAGTATTGGCCAGTATAACGCTCAAAACGACATATTTTTAGCTAACATAACACGCACGCAATAGAATTCTCTCTTGTAGTTTTGGTGCTACCCATCTAATGACGTCACAAAGTTCATTGACCTTCGAAGGTCATTTTTTCCAAGATGGCGGCGAAACACAAAGTTTGCATGCATTTTACTCGTAGACTAAAATGTTCGAGAAGGAAATGATAATATTTTCATAGTTAGGTTGTCAAGTAGGATTGAAATAGCCAATAAAAATTTTCGTTGCCATTGTCCTTTAAGTGTCAGAATCTAAATTACGGGAGGATGTGACGTACTGTAGGCTACAATGACAGAAATTTTTTATTATTTAATTATTATTTATCAAAATAGAGACCTCAAAGTGGAAGAAGCTGGCAGAAAGTCACTTTCATAACAGTTGCTATAATTAACCTAGACGCCTGTTAGCGTTTTCGGTTTAGTAAGGAAGCGAGGATTATTTTGTAATGGAAGTACAAACGAGATTAGAAAGGCACACTAATGTGCACATAGAAATTATTGAAACGTGGTCAACATCATGAATTCAAAGCTGTGTAAATGATTCACAAATTAGGTGCCTGAAATCTCTGTCATTTAAATAATGGCCTATGACGAAACACAGAGTCATAAACGAGAAATGTTGAGTTAATGCAGCCTTTCAAAACAAGTGAAAACAAGACATTGTGACAAACAAGAGTTTGATAATAGGTTAAATCCTGGTTCACACTAGCAATAGACCTTTATAAAAATGTTGACGTCAGCAGGATTGTGACGTAGTTTGCGGAGGAAGTCCCGAAAGCTTAGAGTTGTTTACTTGTTTTGAGTTTTTTAAGAGCCAAAAGAAGCCAGTTATGGTAAGTTTGAAGTAAATTTTTCTATATATACAGGCCAAATGAGTTTTCATATTCGTTAGAGTTTAAATTTTATTTGATTTTATATTAGATTGTACATTTATTTTACTGTCAACATTTAGCAAATTGCTCGCTCGGTCTGTTTACATATTTCTTTGCTAAAAAGTACAATTTTTCTTTTTTGTTTCTCGAATTCATCAGTCTAATCATCAGAATGGCCCCAATCAAGCTGTAGACAGCAATACACAGGCTTAGTGATCGTGCAAAGAGGTACATAAGTCATAAGTGAACTTAGACATATAAACTAAGACTAAGTCTATTATTTTATCGATAAATAGTTGAAGTGAACATACATGACAAGTAGCTTTTATCAATCGTGTATAATACTTTCCGTGCCGTCTGGGTCAACAATCTAGCTTTAATTTCCTATCAAGGTTTTGTCAGGTTTGTGAGCGCCTACGAAATGTTGACCAGCAGGATTCCCAAGAGTCGCCATATTGTTTGATGGACGTACGTTGTAAACACGTTGTGTTATACTCTTAGATTGTAAAAGATAAATAAAGTTTGTTATTTATACGGGTGACTATCACATTGGTGGCAGCGCTAAGAGTATATATAAGTAACCCACGTGCTAAAGCAGCGATATAAACGACGAAACAAACATGCCAACGGACGAAAAACCGATCGAAACAAAGCTTAGGGCAACATTTGGCGCCAAGGTCACGCCAGACGAATTTGAGAAATTTGAAGCTGCATGGACGGTAGCCAAGCGTGCAAATACGAGTGAAACCAGCAAGCCTGTTCGGTGGTCGTCTCCAGAAGGACGAGCGAACATGTTATTGGCCCAATTGACGGACAGTGTTCTAGTTTGGGCAATTCGTCAACCGAACGAAGTTCAATCGAATGATACTGAGCTGCTAAAGGCACTACGCGAGAAATATGCCAAAATAAAATCTCAGGAAGCCTACCAGCAAGACTGGGCGAATATATCTCAACAGCCAGGTGAGAAATTTGATGATTATTATAACCGTCTTGAAGTAGCATACGATAATGCATACCGAGACCCTGAATTTCGTGACGCAAAGGTGAAATCTCGATTGTTAGCTGAGAAATTTCGTGATTCTATACGTGATATACGGGCTAGAGAGAGCATATTAGATAAGGGAATTCTCGATGACACTGGGAAATTAAAAGATTCTGTAGTAATTATTGGTATTGCAAAAAGGGCAACAGAAGTGGGGGATCTCCTCAAGTCAGGGGCTACTGTAGCCCAACTATCCCCCCCTAATCAGACGGAACTTGAGTCCATGATTAGCAAAGCGGTTGTTGCAGCCCTACAGCAAAAGAGACCGTCTCCACCCTACCAAGGTCATAGTGGAAATACTCCGAGCAAGTTTTGGCGTTGTCATTATTGCAATACCACCAACCATCCCGGGGGGTGGAAGGCCTGCCCAGATAGGCGTAAATATAATCCCTCCTGGACTCCAAGACGGCAAAAACCTAGGGCGGGCAGAGTTCAACAAGCAGATGGGGAACAACCTGCCGACCAGGATTTTCGCCCAAACCCGTAGCCGAGGGTGGCGGTTGCGGGACAAGTCCCATACCACCAGTACCCACTAAAGAGTCAAAGGAAAAACCCTGTCAGCAGACCGATGATGGGCTGGGTACTGTAGAGGAGTTGAAAGCGATGCAACGGGGGAGACAGACAAAATTAAGTAGAGGGGACTCTGAAATGGATGGGCCTTATGAAAGGAGAAATGAAACGATTAAACATTTACGGGGGGTGTTAAAACGCAGCCCTTTTGTACGTGCCCGTTGGGGTATTGGCAGCAAGGAGGTCAGTTTATTACTGGACACTGGGGCTGAAGTCAGTTTAGTGGACGAAAGTGTCTTAACAAATGATGAGCGTAAGACAATGAAAGAACCAGACACAAAACCGCCCCAGGGGGTGAGCGGTGAAGTCATTAACATTGTGGGTACCCTTACAAAAACAGTGAGAGTGGGTGGTCAAGTAGTAAGAAATCATAAGTTCTTTGTGGTCAAGAACTGTATTGTTAAATATCTAGCAGGGATTGACTTTATATTTCGCTTGGGGAGAGCGACCTGGGACCCCAAAAGGGGACAATTATACATACATGAGACGGGGCAGAGTACGAAACTTGAGACCATGTACCGTCCTGAAAGTGGAATAAATCGGGGCGCAGCTTGTGATGTACTAGTCAAGGAAGACGTTATTGTGGAGCCTGGTAAAGAATGTTTAGTTAAATGTGTGGCAAACAAAGCATTTAGAGGTCTGGACTACATGGCAGCACCAAACACCTACCCAGGGGATGAACCTATTCGCCCTGCATGTTGTATTGTTAGGGTAGATATGAATAGAGAACTATGGCTCCGAGTCATCAATGTTAACAAAGTTAGTGAAACCCTTCGAAAGGGGGAAAAGATTGCCCTATTAGACCCAGAGTTTGAAACCACTTTTCCAGGTCAACACATGAAAACTAAACCAACTGACCGAGTTACTGGGTATAAAGGAGATGAAAGACTCGATTCTAGGAAACAGGAAGAGGTTGACAAACTTCTGACAGAATTTTCTGACGTGTTTTGGAAACCTGGTGACCGTCTTCCATCTGTCCAGGGTTTGGGGAAGCATTGTATTAGACTCAAACCAGATGCGAGACCAGTTGGTATGAGACCGAGACGGTTATCCCCAAAGGAACGAGAAGAAGTGAACAAAGAGATAACACATCTCCTTGGTCAAGGCTTGATCACACAGTCAACGAGCCCTTGGGCTGCACCAATTGTAGTGGCACGTAGAAAGAATGGCCAAATCAGGCTAGCAATTGACTATCGGGCTTTGAATGCCCAGTCTTTTGATCAGCATCATCCAATACCACGTATTGATGACCTAATTGACAGGCTTGGGGAAGCTAAATATTTCTCATCTTTAGATTTAAAGAGTGGTTACTATCAAATGCCACTTCGCGAGGAAGATTCGGATCTCACAGGATTTGTCACGCCAGATGGTCAGTTCCAGTGGACTGGTCGAGGCACCCCGTTTGGGTTATCAGGAGCACCAGCCTCTTTTCAGCGGCTGATGAGTGGCGCCCTTGGGTCACTGAACTGGCAGGTAGCACTCTGCTACCTAGATGATATACTTGTTTGGGGAGCAACATGGACTGAGCACATGCAGCGTCTCCGGCTAGTACTCCAGAGATTACAAGAGGTGGGAATGCTCCTGAATCCAGAGAAGTGTACGTTTGGTGTTCGTCGCATTGAATTCCTTGGTCACGTTATCGGTGAAGGAATGTTGTCCATCAGTGATGCCCGGAGAGAGGCACTAATCAATACCCCAAAACCAACAACGGTAACAATGCTGAGGAAGGCGCTTGGTGCATTCTCCTACGTGCAACGATGGATTCCAGGGATGGCGGACATTGCAAAACCGTTATATGATCTTTTAGACAAAGATGGTAAGAAATTACTTAAATGGACACCTGAGACAACAGCAGCATTTGAACGCCTTAAGAAACAGGTTGCGAGACCTCCAGCACTTTACCTCCCGGATTTCACCAGGCGATTTGTATTGGTGACAGATGCTTCGACAGTGGGTACGGGAGCAATGTTAGCTCAGCCGGATCGGTTTAAACCGGATGGCCCATTAAATCCAGTGGCATTCTTTCATCACACTCTTTCCTCTAGTGAAAGGAACTATAGCACCACAGATAGAGAGTTGCTGGCGATAGTATTAGCAGTAAAGAAATTTCGTGTTTATCTTGCGGGAAAGCGGTTTGACCTAATCACCGATCATCGGGCTCTGTCATGGATTAACGAAAGCCTGGACTTAAACGATGTTGGCGGTAGGCGAGGGAGGTGGTTGGAATTCCTTCAACAATATCCATTCGATCCAATACATCGGGCAGGAAAGTCACCAGAACTGGCAATGGCAGATTACTTGTCCAGAGTAGGACATGGAGAGCAGGTGGCAACTCTGTGTATGGCAACCTCGACAGTAGGTCAGGCTGAATCGGACAGTGCTTACCGAATCTTTCCCATGCTTGCGAGGAAAGATGTCCATGACGCCCAAATGTATTGTCCAGCGGTAGGGGAATACCTAAGAGCCTGTGAACAACAACGGGAATTGAAGGACCCAATAAACCTTGAGGCAAAGGCCTTGTGGCAGGCGCGCGATCGATTGACAGTATTGGAAGATGGTATTCTACGTTATCGTAACTACAAGGGTCGACCAACGGAAAATAGTCCACTCGGGAAGAACCAGAATCTCCTTGTTGTACTTCCTCAAAGTCTACGTCGGAGGTTTCTTCAGTTAGTTCACGACTCACCTCTAGGGGGACACATGGGACGTGATCGCACATGGGACCGTGTTCGGGCAATGGTATGGTGGCCAGGGGTGAAGTCAGATGTAGCAAAGTATGTTGCCGGTTGCGATGTCTGCCAACGCGTGAAACATGGTTCAAAAGGCAAAGCACCCCTGGAGAAAACTGACATTCCAAAACAACCGTTCCAGCGCATTCAAATCGATTTCGTTGGTCCCGTTCAAGCGTCAGTCCCAGAAGGCTTCACATATGTCCTTGCCATACAGGATGTATTAACACGTTATGTTAAGTTGGTCGCAGCGTCAGATAATTCGGCAGAGACAGCAGTTCGGGTGTTAATAGATGAATGGATAACTCAGTTCGACATCCCTGAAGTGATTGGTAGCGACCAAGGACCCCACTTTACCGCGACCGTCTTTGAAGCTACGTGCAAGGAACTTGGCATCGAACATGCGCTAGGAAGTCCCGAGCATCCGCAGTCACAAGCACAAGTTGAGCGACAAAACCAGCTCTTTGCTAACGTTAGAGCGGTATGTAATAGGAACCCCGCAAGTTGGCCAAGGGCGATGCACGCAGTGACGTTTGCCCATAACACTTCAGCAAACAGGACCACCGGGATATCACCGCACGAACTGGTTTTCAAACAACAAGCGAGACGACCGGAAGCATTCTTCTTACCGGAAGATTCTGCCGGCTCAGATGAAGAATGGAGACCTGAAGACGTGAAACAGGGTGGAGTCGCAGCTCAGGCTCGATCTGATGCCAAGAAGTTGGATGATGTTTTTCAACTGGTGAAGCGCAAGATTTCTGTGGAACAGGACAAACGGAAGAAGAGAACAAAAACGGCAATGAAACGGCCATTCGAGATTGGGGAAGGAGTTCGAACTCGTCTCACAGCTACAGAACGGAACAAACTAGGCGGTAAGAAGCTGGCAGATTTGAAGAGTAAACGATTTATAGTATTAGAGCGCCACGGCAACACTTACAAGCTGCAAGAGGAAAATAACCCGTCCGGACGTGTGAAACAAAGGCATTTTAACGAGCTGGAGCCAGCCCCACCACAAGTCCTGTCGTGGGAAACTGAAGAGTCAGATGACCAGGCAGACAACTATGAGTCAAGTAGCGATTCGGAAGGTGAACCACAACCACCAAGGCGCAGCACTAGAGGACGACAACCAACTAAACGTCTTCAGGTTGATTGGCATCAACAACAATACGAACAGCGCGAAGCAATGGAAATAAACGATGAACTGTTGGACTGAACACTTATTAATATTAGGAACATCGAAATTTTCTGTTATGTATGTTTGAGTTTAGGAGGGGAGTGTGAGCGCCTGCGAAATGTTGACCAGCAGGATTCCCAAGAGTCGCCATATTGTTTTATGGACGTACGTTGTAAACACGTTGTGTTATACTCTTAGATTGTAAAAGATAAATAAAGTTTGTTATTTATACGGGTGACTATCACAGACTCTATTAGTAAAACATGGACTCTATTAGTAAAAGATGGACTCGATTAGTAAAACATGGACTCGATTAGTAAAACATGGACTCGATTAGTAAAACATGGACTCGATTAGTAAAACATGGACTCGATTAGTAAAACATGGACCCGATTAGTAAAACATGGACTCGATTAGTAAAACATGGACTCTATTAGTAAAACATGGACTCGATTAGTAAAACATTCCTAAATGTAGCTCCTTGTCTGTTTTTTTGTAAATTGTAATTTTAATAACATCAACTTTAGTGTACAAGAGATCTCATCGATATTTAACGTAAAGTTTCAAGAAGCATCGACCATTGTAAGTAAATGTGGAATAAATACCAAATTATTTACCGACAGCTAGGTAATGCTATATAGATATAGATGATTTCTTGATTTTTATGTAAACAGAAACACCTTTGCTATTTAACACGTCCACATCGATTTATCCCAGGAGAAACGTAATTTGGACGTGGTTGCGTTGTGTACACGATATTCTTTATAAATATATACTCGATAAAAAGATTCTCCGACAATCGGCATGTTTCCTGCAATACTAATTTACGAATTTTGGATTGATAGTGTCAGACATTCTGACCACCGGCAACCGTTTGCCAATAGTTAAATATGAGCATTTACATATTTGTTTGCGTGCGAACAACGGCCGATAAATAGATCTGGGGTCGGTTGTATAAAGTTAAACAAATCTATGAACTATTGATTACAAAACTTTTCTTTTCTGTCTAAACACAATAACAATGCATAAAACTACTCATTTAGTTGATAAAAATTAAGTTCAAGTACTTACAATATATGTATATTGAGAAGGCCGAATGTTTTTAATTTTTTGCCTATACACCCTTTAAGCCAAACGCCTTTGATACAACCGACCCCTATTCAATTTCGTGTTAGGTTTGTAAGGTGGGGGGGGGGGAGATGGGGTCATCAGGGAAACGTACATAATTAGGAAGTTCGTGGAATAAATCGATACGCGACACTTTCAAAAATATCTTGCCCCTCACAGACTCAAGAAATACGGCAGCTTAAAATATAACACAATGAAAAAATGTTTAAATGTTTCAGGAAAAAATTGGTCTGAATCATTCAGTGGAATAGCACATCATGCCTACCAAGAGTCCATGTTTTACTAAGGGGCCGACCATTTAACTTTTGAGGGGGGGGGGGGTGATTTTGAAAAAAAATTCCTGCAAGGCTATTCTGAACAACAAAAAAATACCTGCACTAACAAACTGGGGAAAAAATATCCTGCCCCAGTATTTGGTGCAGGGATCGATTTGACCAGTCCGAGAAGATCAGCTGGTTTGATTTTTAGGGACTAGTGTAAGTTAATTTCTTGTTGGAAAACTCCTCAAAATCCTGGAAATAGCTTATCTGAGCTTCAAAAAATCCAAAATTTTCAGGGGGGCATGCCACCAGACCCCTCTAGAGGCTCGCGCCTTCGGTGGTCGACTCAGTTGTCTCAGAGTCCTAGTTAAGCATGGCCTGAGCTGCTGCCCTATGACGTATACTTATTAGTTAAACCATGCATATATATGCTGTAGGTAGCTGCAGTGATACAGACAGGGTTGTAGCGAGGAGGGTGGTATTGGGGGGTGGTTAACCCCCCAACTTTTTAGAATCAACATATTCAGAAAATCGGGTTGGCCATTCGGAAAATTATGGCAATAATAGTAGAACAAAATTTTAGTTGTTAAACAGAGAAAATATTATAAAATTGTATTGTCACTATAAATTGTAAGCGAATTGTAAATTTCGACATACTAAAACGCTTTTTTCTGACCATCAGCATTCTGTCAAAACTTCCCCAAAGTCCAGCAAATGGCATTTCAAAGACATTTCTATGAAATGGCATTTCGAAATTTAAAAATTTCCTCGGCTCTCCGGCCCTCGCTTTCTGCCCCCAATAAACAAAAGCTCCCTACCGCACTGCTTCTGTAATATGTCTGTGCGTAAATTATGCGTATTTTTGTTTGTAAATTGCGTCTTCATTTTCCGAATAGCAAACACCTTTGTGGCTTAGTATGCCATGATATATTCGGAATTTTTTTTCGTCATTTGGAAATTTTTGGCCTACACCCCCCCCAACTATACATGCTAGCTACGGCCCTGGATACAGACTTGCCGACTGGAACTTCTCCAGGTCCCCCGCTAATTATGTCCTCTCCAGTTACACATCCTTAAAAAAGGCCCTGAACCAAATGTTATACCTCATAGCAATATGTATTATTAAGAGCAATGCATGAAGCGGAAAACTCAACGTTAACTATCATTAAAGAATCTAAATAGTATAAGCTATTGAAAAAAAAAATGCTGCGAAAGAAAGTGTGGAAAAAAAAATCGTACATGGTGATGGGATAAAAAAAATCTTGCACATAACGATCCCAGAAAATTCCCTGCCAGCAGTAACCCCCCCTCCCCTCAAAAGTTAAATGGTCGGCCCCTAATCGAGTCCAGTCCATGTTTTACTACATGCCTCTTATACACTAAAGTCGATGTTATTAAAATTACAATTTACAAAAAAAAACAGACAAGGAACTACATTTAGGAATGTTTTACAAAAGGATGAACCTAATGGCGTTAGGAAAGCACTTAAGTTTAGATGTTAGAACAGCAATGACAGTAGAAGAGGTTCGTAGTGTAGTAAGCCAACATCTTGTTAAAGAGGGTGTCCTTAACGAGCCTGTCTTCCTAACTCCCGCCTCCTCAAGTGATGGGCCGGACCTCTCGGAAAAGTATAAATACGAATTTGAGCTTAAAAAACGTGAATTTGAGCGTGAAGAGAGAGAACGAGAGCGTGACGAGCGTGAGGAAAGGGAAAGAGAGAAAGCTAGAGAGTTAGAGTTGCGTAGGCTAGAGTTAGAGCATGCTTTAGAGCTCAAGAAATTAGAGTTAGTGGGGGTTCAGTAGAAGGTCATCCAGGCACGAGTCGTTCCTCATCATTCGACATAACTAAGCACATTCGACTCGTTCCGCCGTTCCAAGAACAGGACGTAGATAAATATTTTTTACATTTCGAAAAAGTAGCAGAAAATTTGAAATGGCCAAAAGAAGACCCAAAGAACACTCGGCCTTATTAATACAGTGTGTTTTGACGGGAAAAGCTCAGGAAATTTACACCCAGTTGTCCCTAGAGCAGGTATCAAATTATGATACGGTTAAAGAAGTGATCTTGAAGGGTTATGAGTTGGTCTCCGAAGCATATCGTCAAAAATTTCGAAATTGTGAAAAACGTTCGGGTCAAACATTTGTAGAATTTGCAAGAGCTAAAAAGCAGTTATTTGATCGTTGGTGTGATTCCGAAAAAGTCGAAAAAGATTACAACAAATTAAGACAGCTATTTCTAGTCGAAAAGTTTAAACGATGTATTCATAGCGATATTCGAACTTTTATCAATGAACAACAGTCAAAAACATTGAATGACGCAGCACGTTTAGCTGTAGCCTGCGGGAAGAAATTCCAGATTTGTATCCTTCCTGTGTCGTTACTCGAGCAATGGCTAAAGCTATGAAAGAGTCTGATAAAGATGAAATACATGGTGACGACATTAATTTGGCCGATTCGTGCCTTGCGAAAGATTTTGAAAATGAAAATGAAAAAGTTGCTGTTTCAAGTGAATCCGATTTGTTTGCAAATAAAAATTTATCGCAATCAATTTCAAAATCTTATCTTGTTTCCGAACAACATAAAGACTCAGACATTTCGATCTTGTTTCAAAAAGCTGTCGATGAAAGTGAACTATCCAAAAATCCGGTTTGTTATTTCGTTCAAAAAGACATTTTAATGAGGAAATGGAGACCACCGGATGTTTCTGCAGACGACGAATGGGCAGTTAAGTATCAAATTGTGATTCCAAAAGTGTATCGGTATGAAGTTCTTAGCTTAGCGCATGAAACTCCGTTAGCCGGACATTTAAGTACGAGGAAAACATTGCGCAAAATTTCCGAGCATTTTTACTGGCCATCGTTAAGGAAAGATGTTGCTGAATTTTGCCGGTCATGCCATACGTGTCAGATGGTTGGGAAACCGAATCAAACTATTCCGAAGGCACCATTACGTCCGATTCCGGCGTTTGAGGAACCATTTAGCCGAGTTATAATCGATTGTGTCGGTCCGTTGCCAAAAACTAAGTCGGGTAATCAGTATCTTTTGACCATAATGTGTGCCTCAACAAGATTTCCGGAAGCGATTCCTTTGCGAAACATAAAAACAAAAACCATTGTTGACTCTTTAATAAAGTTCTTTTCACTTTTTGGACTACCTAAGTCGATTCAATCCGATCAAGGTTCAAATTTTATGTCCGGGATTTTTCAACAAGTTATGTACGAACTAAAAATGAAACAGTATTCGTCTTCAGCTTACCATCCAGAAAGTCAAGGTGCTTCAGAGCGGTTTCATCAAACTTTGAAAACGATGAATAAAACTTATTGTTTTGACACCGAGAAGTGTTGGGATAAAGGAATTCATTTACTTTTGTTTGCTGCAAGAGAGTCTGTTCAGGAATCATTAGGTTTTAGCCCTTTCGAGCTTGTTTTCGGTCACATGGTGAGCGGGCCTCTCAAACTTTTCAAGGAGAAGTTTTTATCCGACGGTAATGATTGTTTAAATCTTTTTCAATATGTTTCGGATTTCCAAACCAGGCTTTCAAAAGCGTGTGATTTAGCTAAGGCAAACCTTAAAGCTAGTCAAGTTTCCATGAAAACAAAATTCGATAAAAACACAGTTAGCCAGTGTTTTCAGCCTGGTGATAAGGTTCTTGTTCTACTCCCTGTTCCGGGACATCCCCTTCAAGCTAAGTATTTTGGGCCTTACGTAGTTAGTGAGAAAGAGTGAGCAGAATTACATAGTAAATACACCAGATAGGCGTAAGTCTAAGCAATTATGTCATATTAACATGCTTAAGCCTTATTTTGAAAGAAAGATTTAGGTGCACACTCAGTAAATGCAGTTAGTGTAGGTCTCTCCAAGGATAGTTGTAATGAGCCCAATATTCTGTCTGACATGAAAAAGCTGAGCAATTCAGATGTATTAAAGAATTTGGATGAGAAATTAAAGCATCTTGAGCCATCGGAACGAGAAGATTTAAAGAAAATTATTGGTGACTACAAGCATCTGTTTCCAGATGTTCCATCTAGAACTGAAATGATATATCATGATGTTGAAATCGAGGACACTGCAAGACCAATCAAACAACACCCGTACCGGCTTAACCCTATGAAACAACGATATTTACAAGACGAAATAAATTACCTCCTGGCGAATGACTTTATCGAGCCCATGCAGTAACAGCAACTGGAGTTCTCCTTGTATTTTGGTTCCGAAACCGGATGGTTCATATCGTATGTGTACAGATTATCGGAAAGTTAACAACGTTACAAAGTCGGAGTCGTTCCCCATACCCCGAATGGAGGACTGTATCGATCGTATTGGAAACTCTAAGGGACCGGTCATAAAGTAGAGGGGGGGGGGTGGGCTATGAAAATTGATTTTTTAAAGACTGGTTTACAGTGACCCACCCCCAAATTGTGACAATAAATTGAGGTGGCCCACCCCTAGATTAGAGCAGAAATCTTAGTGACCCCCCCCGCCCCCCCCCGTCATGTAGATAATGTACTGTACAATAATGTAGATAGGTGCGCGTACGTTGGCAGCATTGGCTTACCACGATTCTTTACTAGTTTAGTCAGAATCCCCGAAAAATCTCCGAGATTGAAATGTTGTAACACGCCGCCCGACTCTTGAACATAATTCAACTATGTCCAAACATAATGCATGACAGTACATTCAGGGCCGTAGGAAGCTCTTTTCGATTGGGGGGGGCTGAAAGCGAGGGCCGAAGGCCCGAGGAAATTTTTAAATTTAGAGTCTCTAAAATGCCATTTCCTGGACTTTGGGGAAGATTTAACAGAATTCTGATAGTCAGAAAACAGCGTTTTAGTATGTCGAAATTTACAGGAAAGTATGGGCCAGACTGTAGTATTATAAATGCGCGGCGGGAATTTTCGTCGTAAATGGCAGTGGCGCGGAAATGAAGGCAGAACATTTGAGAAAATTTCGAAAATCTGGAGTCTCTAGATGGTCTGAAATGGCATTTTCAGAGTTTTCTTTCGCAAGACCCAACACACAAAAGACAAAATAAATCATTAGTTCATCAAAAATGTGCAGATTTTGTGGGATTTTCTTGAAAATGCGCGACAGAAATTCAGCTAAAATTTCTACGCGAGGAACGATCTGGAGTATGAGTAATATCTTCATTCTTTGCAGTTTGTCACAGATTAAATGATAAAGTTTGCATGATTTTGAAAAAAGAATGATTATTAGCAAATTATTGGGGGGGGGCTGCAGCCCCCCAGCCCCCCCGGTTGCTACGGCCCTGACATTGAGTAGACTACGGTAACTAGAACACTTCCCAATGTACTGTATACAAATGTGAATTCCTGTTGTTTAATCAGGGGCGAAACTTGAGGGGGGTGTGGGGGGGTGTTACACCCCCCCAAAATACGAATCGTCCCGATTGGCAGGGCAATCAAAGGTCTCTTATAAATAAATGATAGCACATAGGCGTACCGGGCGGGGGCAATATTCGATCGGGGAGGTCGCCAAAATAATTTTTCCGGAAAAAATTTTTTGGTACTTTTTGGCAGGGCATCACTGGTTTTGGCAGGGCAATTCTGCCAGACACCCCCCTAATTAAAAGGGGCTAGTTTCGCCCCTGTGTTTAATATATAAAGTTAATAGGTTAAAGAGATTTCGCAAAAGTTTTTATTTGCTATTTATTAAATTGTGAGACGTGAATAATTTTACCTGACCCACCCCTAATGCAGTGCATAAATTTTCCTGACCCTCCCTTTTCGACGTGTTGAAAAATAGTGACCCACCCCCAATTTTTCATAGCCCACCCCCCCCCTCTACTTTATGACCGGTCCCTAAGTACGTTACTAAGTTTGATTTACTCAAGGGATTTTGGCAAGTTCCACTCACCGAGCGTGCGAAAGAAATTTCAGCCTTTGTTACTCCCACCGGACTGTATCAGTATAAAGCAATGCCATTTGGGATGAAGAACTCACCTGCCACGTTTCAACGTCTTATCAACAACATTATTACGGACCTCGATGGCTGTGACGCGTACATCGACGATCTTATTATCGCAACTGAGATCTGGGAAGAACACATTACTATCATACGAGAATTATTCGAACGGCTTAGTAAAGCAAAGCTTACAATAAATCTACTGAAAACCGAATTTGGGTGTGCGACAGTCACGTACTTGGGTCATGAAGTTGGGCAAGGTCATGTTAAGCCCGTCCAAGCGAAAATATCTGCGATCCTTGAATTCCCCACACCCACATAAAAGAAACAGTTAATGCGGTTTCTTATATGGCTGGTTATTATAGAAAGTTTTGTCACAACTTCTCAAACATTACCGAACCACTGACCATGCTGTTGAGAAAGAATGTCGGTTTTGCCTGGAGTCAAGATTGTGAAACGGCGTTTCAAAAATTGAAAGCTATGCTGACCAGTGCTCCCGGCGCCGAATTTCGACCGTCCATTTAAATTAGCTGTGGACGCCAGCAACGTTGCAGTTGGAGCTGTGTTGTTGCAAGAGGACAGTAATGGATTAGATCATCCGGCAGTGTGTTATTTCTCGCGTAAGCTGGACAAGAGTCAGAAAAAATATTCAACGATTGAGAAAGAGTGTTTGGCGTTAATATTAGCCCTACATCATTTCGAAATTTACGTTACGGCTTCTAACTCCGCAGATACGGTATTCAGTGATCATAATCCTTTGGTATTTCTCCACAAGATCAAGGATAAAAATCAGCGATTAGTGCGATGGAGCTTATGTTTACAAGAATATGATTTGAACATACAGCACATTAAAGGTAAAGACAATCTGATTGCGGACTGCTTGTCAAGATAATGAAGTTGGACGAAAGTTCTAACAAACTTTCTTTTTTCAAGAAAGGGAGTGTGACGTGAAGTCAGTCACGTCATAAACATTCTTAATTTAAGACATTACGTAATTATGCTAACTCATGTTTTGCTATATTTATCTTATACGTAATATCTAAAAATAGCGTTTATGTAATGTTCTATAAATATCTTTCCAATAGTATATAAGCAGGATAGTTAAAAAGTTTAAGTTAATTAACATATAGTTAAAGTATAGACTAGTATAGTATAGATTAGTATAGACTAATTTTAAAACTAGGCAAGGAGATGCAAATAAATGACCGCAGCTAGAAAGAGCATACTAAAATGAGTAAAATTGCAAAGTTTGGTTGCGAAATGTTATAAAATGCGGGAATTATAGCCTTGCAAAGTTCGCAAATTTTGTATACTTTTGTATTGCGTGCGGCCATTTTCGGCCTAAATGTGGTAGGAATCATAGAGATTATAAATAGCACTAGAGGAGGCATCGAGTTTAAAAATTGGGAACGCAGCTAATGGGGGGCAAATTTAAGTCCCGGATATAAAATCGTGCTCTCATTGGCTGATTTGAAACTCGTCACCAATGGGAACACGAATACACATCCGGGACTTGAATTTGCCCCCCAATAGTCGCGTTCCCTTTTTTTTACTGAATTAAGATTACAATGCCTCCTCTAGTGTTATTTATAATCTCTATGGTAGGAATGTGGTAGGAATTTCCGCACGCAATACAAAAGTATACAAAATTTGCGAACTCTAGACCGGGAGCCCAGGGGTATGAGCTTAGCTGGAAAGGTTACCAATTTTTATGCATACTGCATTGGTCTATGTACCTAGTGATCTAAGAAAATGGACGTCTGCCGGACACACACTGGTGGATGTGGTCAGG